ACAACAACAACCCCATCACAGCCTGTATGGCCTGGTGCAGTGGTCCGCAAATGGTGGCCCGCGGGCCAGAAGTGGCCCGCCAGCAATAATATCTGGCCCTCCAGATTATTTTGATAATTTTTTGTTTTTTATTTAAAGAAAAAAAAAATGGATCTCCATCTGAGCAGCAACAGTTACCTGCAGATGGGAATCACAACTTCCTGTCTGGACTTTCAGAATAAAATCAAAGCGGAAACAGACTGCAGATGATGAGCAAGATGGTGTATTGAGATTCTACCCAAAAAGATTATCATACGATCTTTGAACCTGTTCGGACAGATTTGTTGTTCGATGCTTCATTGAACAACAAGTGCGTCCCAGCCAGGTTCATCGCTTCTGTAAACACTTCTGTAAACACTTCTGTAAACACTTCTGTTGTGTTGTCATTATGTTGCAGCACACGTGTTGTCAAATTGAAGAAGACGTTTTCTGAATTCCTGCGTTTTCTTAAGCCGCAGTGCGTTGAGCTCTCAGGGCCACCGTACAAGACTCAACGTCGAAGAGACCTTGACAAGAAGCCGGGCCTCGGCCTGTGGGTGAAAACACCTCGGTGTGAGGATTAGCGTGGAGCAGTGTTCAGCCTCTTTATGTGACTCTTCTCTATCATCAATATGGCTCCATTTTCCTTTTGATAAACCTGCAGCAATTACATGCCTCACTTATCAGACACTCCCTGAAAGAAACTGGAAAATCGTGAGGACATAAGAATGAAAATCAAATCTAGAGTCACCATATCAACAAACAGATATCTCTCTCAATTACAAAATAATTAGAAGCAACCAGGGCGGTAGTTAGAGGAAGATAATTGAACCCAAGTAACTGATAGGAAGGGAGGAAGGTAAACAGTTAAGGGGACAATAACCCTCCTAATGAGCCAAAGAGCCTGTTCGAATCCACCTATTATCCTACTAATGGATCCGGGAGGAATTCCTTCAGATGGCATTAAGGAGACCCCTGGAGAGAGCTAAAGCGGGGGTGGGGGCCGGTTCTATTCTTCACTGCGCCTCACTTCTTGGCCCCCTCATTCAGGTCAATTGGTCATGCAATTCTCTGCTCTCTCACACACACACACACGCACACACACACCTAACAAACACTCAAGTGCACACGTCTAAAGCAAGGAACCAAAACGCTGCGCCTCCTGTTGTTACAGGGGGGGGGCCCGGGGCCCGTCAGCGCATCTGGGCCGAGCTTGTCGGCATCAAGGATGGAGATCAACGCTGTCAGACCTCAAAAAGGTCGCAGCCGCATCGACAGCGAGAAGCTCAGCGGTGCGGGAAGGTGCTCGATGTTTACCGCCCTAGGAGCTTATCAAAAAAAACAACTAATAATAAGAATAATTCAATGCTGATCACGAGTGCAATTTTCACAACAAAGGGGTTTCTGTTTTTTTTTTCCCCTCTGCCTGAGCTACTTCAGAGATGGGAATGCATGTACAGGATGAGTGCAACACAGGCAGGCCACTCACTGAATGCTAACAAAGAGAGAGGTGGGGGGGGGGGGGGGGGGGGGGGGGCAGTAGTGTGGCATCGAATTACACAGGGCTGATTGGTGGGAGCGTGCATGGTTGGGTCAGGAAGGGACAGGGAGTACAAGGCCAGAGCCACATGGTGCAGATGCACTGCTGACCGCTTACACCGGGGTAAACACACTGATGAGATAAAAGCCGACGCACATTTAGCAGCAAACTGCCCATGAACTCCTCCCTTCAGGTCAGACAATAGAAATCACCATGAAGGCAAAAGGAAAATATTAAAAAAAAAAAAAAACTCTTCTTGGTAGGTGTGGCCTGATTCTGAGCTCCAGAGAAAGAAAGAAAGAAAGAAAGAAAGAAAGAAAGAAAGAAAGAAAGAAAGAAAGAAAGAAAAAGAAATAGAAAAAAGGAGATTCCTGCCTGCTTCAATGTGTTCCAGATGGTGATGTAATTTTATTTCTGGAAGCGCAGAGCTGACTCTTGACTGCGGCTTGCCACAAGTGATACATAAACTGAGCAAAAGGAGAGTCCAACCATGCAAATATGCGGGGCTCCCACCACAGCTCACAAACTACAGACGGGCTACTTCGTCAATACTGCAACTTGAAACAACACAGAGTCTGATTCAAACCACACACACACACACACACACACAACCACACACACACACACACACACACACACGAAGCCAGACGCTGCGTTCATGTGCACATTCTCAAAAACTCAATCAAAGTTTTTCATGCTTCGATTGGAAACTGAAATCTCTTTCAAAAAAGAAAATGACGGGAATGTTGACCGATCAGAAGTGTCGGCAGATGTTATGACGACTACACTACTACATTTTCGTTTTTTAAAAAAAAGCATCACTTTTGTTTTTCCAGCGCCTGAAACGGAGACTTTTGGAAACGCTGCTGTCCCAGTGTTAGTCTGCCCCTGCTCTGGCTGGGGGTCGTGCTAACCTTGTACTCGCCACCTCTGCTGTATTGATCCGGGGAAACACAGCTGGGGCGAGGTCTATCAGGGCAAATATCAGGCCTTTTCTAAGCGAACTTACATAAATGATATGTAATATAACACAGAATATAACCCCTGGATTAGCTGCACATTCACAATGACCCATAGTCAGAGTGTCTACAGTGATGTGACCCAGGTTGGAAAATTCCTTTTTACGTGGATTAGGTTTGAAATGATTGGTAGATTGATCGAGTTAATCATAGTCGTATCAGCTGAGCACTTCGTCAATAGCAATAAGAAAACGGTTTGATAGACAGTCTGATAGTTTCATGTCTGCATGATCAAACCCTGAGCGTGCCCGCCCCGCCCCCGGCTCATAAACGCACCCCCGTCACATCCATTGATAACGGAGAGCGCTACGAGTGACACGCAACCAGCCGATCGTTGAACGGGTGTGTTGTTCAGCCGCACCAACGACGCCTTCGCTGCCTCCACCCTTCGGAGCACACAACATGTCATCAGTCAGGGCCGACATCTGCTACATCTCAATAAGCAACCCACATAACCCACGCAGTGGCGCACTACGTTGCCAAGGATACGCTAACAATCAGCGTCCTTGAAGAGTCTGGCTTCAAAAGAAAAAAAAAAGGTTAAATTCTATTTTTTCTTTTTTTTGATTTTCGATATCGACCAATATTACATTTTTGGCCGAATCACCCAGCCATACATACTCGTTTTTACTTGTATTATTAAGTATTGGAGCTCTCTAACAAGCCAACGAGGAAGGTGCACTGCTGAACTATAATGCAGCCGTGAAGATCAAACCAGAGGAAGGAAAAAAAACAGCTTAAGCAAAGATACGCCCATCATATACATTATTATTCATATATTATATCCTGGTCTTGCATCATAATATGAATTTTATTTCAGCAGACGAGGTAACGCCCTGCTGGAGAGCCTAATTGCAATGCTATGGTAATTGGGTTTATTGTGTTTGAATGAGTGTTGATGAATCGCTGCTCAACATACATTCAACTGACAAGCTACCCAGACTGCCTCTGCTGCAGAGTGCGTGTGTGTGTGTGTGTGTGTAGTCCTCTCACATCAGCACAACCGCATGGGAACTTGCAGGTTTATGACAGAACCAAATTAGACCTGACATCCTAACCCCGACCCACCGTCCTTCATTTCTCTGCTCCAAAGCCTTTAATCCCCCCTGAGGTACATCCTATTGGACACTCCAGGTCGTCCTGTGAAGGAGCACTGACACATTCTGGGGGGGGGGGGGCAAGTTTGACTGCCACCCCCAACCCAACCCCACTGGGGAGTTATGCGCTTAAAATATACACAGTCACCTGTGATGGTGTTTTCACCTGTCAAATAGGGTTGAAGAGGGGCAGGGCAGGCGCAAGAGGATTTGGCAGGGATGCTAATGCTGTGCCATTGTGCAGGAAATGATTCTATTGTTTTTCGGCATGAGGATTAAGGTACCCAGAGTGTTTGGCTGTAATGGCTTTATTAAAGAGCAGGGGATGTGCCAAAGCTCAGAAAATGAAAAAAAGAAAAAAGAAAAAACGCTCATCTGCAGAAAATCTTCACTCCTTTGTACAATGTGTACAAACCAGAGCCATCTGTAAACGATGGCATTTTCTCCATATGTCTTGTCAGTAATGTCAACAGGCATTTCATTTTCACACAATGTAAGAATGTGTGTCCATTTATCATGACTCCCCTCTTCTTATTCCCTGCATATTAATGTGCTGTCACGATGGCTCCTGCCTTTTTCAGATTGTACTGCACATACTTATACAGAGCCCCCAAATCACTCTCATTCTCCGCCACTAATATACTATTTCTGTGGCTGCTGGAATTGCTGCAGTCACCATATTTCACTATGGTAATGGACAAAGTTTGCTTTCATTGTCCTCTCTCTTTTTTTTCTAGTATTAAGCTGCAAAAATGGAGGAAAGCTCAAAGAGGCGGCAGCATTTTGTAGTCTAGCCTGTCAACACTCCACAGGTTGCTTTAAGCACAATAAAACCACCATAAAGGGAGGTGCACGTAAGCCGTCCCTGGATGCTTTATGAGGCGGGCACAGGCAGAAGTCGAGCCCCTATAGGAGCCAGCAGTGTCCGCCGCCACCACCATGCCATGATGGAGCAAGGGAGCGAAAACAAAGCCGAGCCGTGCAAGAGGATGGGGGGGGTGGGGGGGGCAGAGGAGGTCTCCCACCGCTGCAGGCAAAGCAACAGCGGTGCACACAGCGTTGATACAGTATGTCAACACCCTAATCATCTTCCTGTTGTCATCTTGCAAACTACACCCGTAAGATTTCCTCTAAACAATGCGGCGCCGACGTATTTGTGCGCGCTTGTTCAAACAGCAGCCACAACCACGTATAACACGCCGCGTGGTGCGGTGCACAGAACAGCACAGCCACCATTACCTTTCATAAAAATAAAAATAAAAATAAAAACAATAATGATAATAATAATACAGAGAGACACAACAATAAACAGAGGAGTTGACTGACCTGCGGGTGTTGCTCCAAATATCCGCACCACCGGCACTTTCTTCACGTCGCTCTCCCTGAATTCAGAGTAGCAGACATCCAGGTCTTTAATGGGTCTTGCCAGGTAATAGTCTGCGGTGACGATGCGCACGGCAAACATGACTGCCGCGTCCGTCAGAGAGGGACCGACCGACCAAAAGAAAAAAGCCAAGAAACTACTGTTAGGAGTCCATAAGACGCGGGGACCTCGGTGGCCAGTCGATACCAACCGAGGGGAGTGCTGTCACCGGGGTAAAACAACGACAAAGCGGAGGGAAAGCCCGGTTGTGTCCCATGAAAAAAAAAAAACGCGAACAAAGATCCCCGTGGCTTCGGCTCAAGCCCGAGGTGCCGCGGCCGTTGGAAGTCCAACCGCGGCTGCGGAGAGCGAAACTCAACGGTGGCGGGTAATTGTCCGACGCCGTACAGCTGTCGGATCCATGTTGTACTTACTAATTTGTGGCTGTCCCGTGATTTTAGCCCTCTCTGTGGTGTTTTTGTTTTCGGCCAGGAAGACGTTCCCCGGGGCTTCCGGTATGTAGCGTTATCTTTCCAAATCACGTCCCAGAACTAGTCCCAGCCAGTCCCGTTTTATCAGACAGCCCCTCGGTTGTGCTCCGTCTTCTTCCATAACAGGCTAGCCCGCGTTAGCTAACCTACGACAGACTCCCAAGGTGCTCGGAATACGGAGGATCAGTACATCCGGTTACGATTTTCAGAATAAAAGCGATGTTGAAGAATTGGAGCGTGATGATACAAAACACCTGAGTAAAAAATAAACGTGTCTCCATCGCTACGTAACTACACGTTGTTAAATTATTGTTACGTAATATAATAATGTATATTATGTTATTATAATTTAATATGTTTAGGATTATTATATTATATAAAACATACTATTCTGTCATAACACCACACTATAATCATATTATTTTACACTATTTTATATTATATTACATTTTATAATATCATTTTAACATATTTTCCTATTTTTTTGTGGTAAGATTTTTTTTTTTATTAAATTGACAGGATATCATATAAATTATTATAATTTTTTCTCCCTACAATTTTCTATTTATATTAAATCATTAATGTCCACTATACTTTCCTTTTCATCCTCTCACAAAAGACATAGGACACACACACACATGGCATAGGCACATACCATACACATCATATTCTTCTCATTTTGTACGTCTCTATAACTGTTTATTGTTTTTTGTTGTCATTTGCATGTTGTCATTTACATGCTTTTATTTTCATTTACATGTTGTCTTTTTCATGCTTTCATGGACTGCCTGGCCAAGACTTTTAGCTGCTTGGTGCTGCATATTATTTAAGTTAAATTAAACACTATTAATGACGAATAAATAAGATGGTTGTCCTCATGAGGATGCTATCAGCAACCCAAACCAACTGTTATACAACTACAGTGTCTCATGAACACCAGTAGCCTTTTACCAACACATTAGTGATTTGTTGGTTAAGCATGCAAGCTGCCTCTGGGTAACTGCTGTGGCAGTCTTTAATTGGAAGAGGCCGGGGATGTTAAATGGATGGTAAGCAGAGAGTCTTGAGTGCTCCTTCAGTTGTAGATATTGATAGTGTAAAATGTGTGCAAGAGTCAAAAATCTGTTAAAAAATATCTTGATCTAGACTATATCTATCTCAATATCTACATATAGCTCACTATCTTGAGCTATAATGTCTAGATTTCTTCTTTGGGTTGGGGTAGAGTCAGTAGAGACAGCTTACACTTCTCGTTGTTGTTATTGGTTCTTGTGCATAAGCAGGTACAGTATCTAAACAAATGCCATAAAACATAGAAACTGGTTAGGCCAGGCCAGACACTTCCCTTAAAAATGTCCATTAAACCACACTCAAAGCTCAACTATTGATCTGTTATGAACACTTTATATCAATTTAAACCAGCACAGGAAGCTTAGGCTCATACCTAATATACCACTTATGTAATATGATCCCAGTATTCCAATAAAATTACACTTTAGTGGGAAAATATGCAATCATAAATACTTTTAAAAAAGTGAGAAATACAAGTTACACCTTTATTGTTTTAGTCACTCTGATATGTGAGTGCTAACAGCACTTTAAGCCAGTGCTGCAATGCCACCCACAATTTCAAACAGATGCCTTTGGAGGACTCTTATTTTATAACTGAATGCGTTTCAGCTTAGGAAGTGGAAACAGGCCGGTGGAACATTGAATTGACATCTTTGCAACTCATTTGCTGCTGCAGCATCAACACATGGATCAGACCCAGATCAAAGAGATGGAAAGCTTTGCCTCCCTCATTGGTCACTTGTTAGGGGACAGGTTTTCTTTTTATTGGTTGATATATTTCCTGTGATTGAAGAAAGAAAAAAGCTTATCCTAGAATACATAAAACAAAAAGCATCACACAGGGAAGCATTCATAAAGGAATATTTTACAATTGGATTATTTTAGCACCACAGATATGCTGTGAGCCTATACGGGAATCATTGATACAGGAAAGACTAAATTACCATAAAGTACAGTGAGATAAATATGAAGTGAAAACAAACCAACACTCGTGTGCTGTAACTTCTTCAATGTCTATATTAGTTATATTTATTATTTACTACAGTTTGTGGGAGTTTTCAGGAAACTGAGAGCTTTAATTCTGCAGACAGCTGAACAGTCTTTTGCAGCATAAATCGCCTCTTCAGGGTCATATTGACAATAACAAGGACATGTCAATTTGGGGGTTTCAGTGACCTGTGGAGGAGTTTACATCATATAATGACACAGAATTATGAATTAAGAACTGAAGAATTAAGGATGATTCAGTCAATATACAAAAACTTGATTGATTTTTGGTCATAAATCACACTTCCGTACAGTTAAATCCTTTTAGAAAATGTGAAAACAGAAGAAAGTCTGGATGCAGTATACAGTAAAATCTTGGTTACAGCTGTTCCTATTTGGAAATATTGTCACAAATAGAACATATCCAATGAAAATATCTGTAAATGTTCTGTTCTTCACTCATTGCATTCAGTTAATTTCTGTTATTAAGAAAAAGATTCATCCAAAATGTCTCCAAACATGAGCACGATCTGAAATACTCTTTAAAATGAAAGCTTTAACTGAGGAAACACTTGCTTTTTAATCTTTCAGGACCTCAAATGTATATATATATGTATTCTGTATGAATCTACATGACCACCTACAGGTGCTAGTCTGGTGATGTGTCTGATGTCTTTTTGCCCACTACACATCTTCAGGGCTGTTCAGTATTCCAGTCAGTTTCCTTTAATGGCCTGACAGGCATCAGTGGAGGATGTGCTGAGCTCACTGCTTTCTCCTCTCCACTGAAAGAGCCATAACCGTCTCCGAACAGCTGGTTCGGTCCGGTTCATACCGGGGACATTGCAGTCAACGACTCCCCGATGATGAAAAATGTGTCATTAGCATTTTAATCTCGATGGAGACGGAGCCTCTGTCTGCCTGAGTGTGTGCTGACCTTGAGTGAGAGCCTGGCCCTCTTAATGAACCAATCACCAGGCATCTGCTTACATTTGGCAGCAGCACGTACTGTCTATGAGCATGTGTGAGGGACAGTTTTAACATCAAACTAATCCAGGGATATTATATACGCCTCATGTAATGCAGTGTTAGGTGGGAGCTTTTATCTAAAGTGCCTAACAGTACAGTATACTGATGGTCCCAGTGGGAGCAGAACCCCAACACTGCCACTGTGAAAGTGCCATCTTCTACTCGTTGCCATCATGAAAACCCATTTGTTTTTAGCAGTGTGTTCCTCTCAGTGATGGTGAATTAAAGGAGGGAAAAAAAAGGGACGTGGCTTAAAGGAACAGATCCTCCAACACGACTAGGTCCAAACCTAGTAATGAGGCTGGATCGCGTGCAGCCAATGAGCGAGACTGAGGATGTAGTTGAAAACTGTTGTAGAACAGCTGTAAACACCTGACATCATCGCGTCCTATTTGCATTCAGCTCTTTATCTGTCTGCCCGCCCCCCCCATGATGATGATGAACTATGATCACTCAGTCAATCAGTCAGTCAACTTCGTGTCTTTCAAAACTGGGAGCCCACAGAAGAACATGAGTCTGAACTCAAACTATGAAAGAGAAACTCCGCTGAATTCTGTTTACAGGTGTAGTTTTAAAGTTTTAAAAAAAGTTGTAGAAAGCCTTTTGTGTCTCCAGAGCGAGCCGTGTGAACGCCGACAAACTGCCTCAAGTGATGTGTGAGTCAGCGTCAGTTTGGGTGAGGATGACCAGTCTGAAAATGTAATAATCTAAGAAGTGAGGTTACAAGACCTCTTACTCACATAGCACGCCCGAATCTGTGACTAAACTTATTGTGGGTGATGTAGGTTTTTGGGTTGTCTGTCCGTCCATCCTTCTCATTCTCGTGGAAGCTATAACTTAGTAACACCGTGAGGAAACTTCTTCTAATTTGGCACAAACATTCACTGGGACTCGAGGATTAATTGATTAGATTTTAGTGGTCAAAGGTCAAAGGTCAAGGCCACGGCGTGATCTCACGTTCTTGTGAATGCAAATGCCCAGAGGGAGTTTCATCACTTCTGGCACGCCGTGACCTCACAAAACACGTTTGTGGCCATAACTCACAAATTCATTCAATAATTATGACACAGTTTAACTCAAACGTCAATGAGGATAAAATGAAGTGTTGACATTTTATATCCAAATGGTCAAAGGTCACTGTCGCTGTGACATCACAATGTTCTGCAAAAACACTTCTGGCCATAATTCAACGCTGTAACTCAGGAGGGAGAGACTGTGACCATATTTCCTGTAACTTGGCTGGTCGGTGGAGGAAACAGCAGTGAGGTCGTAATTCTAATTTTTTACATCTCCAAGCTTGACTCCGGTTCAGCATGAATATGTTGTGGTAGCCTGAGAGAGAGTGGGGATGGAACGATGTGTTGTTTTGGTGGCCTTACAAAATGGGAGTCAACTGTTCCGTTAAGAGTAATGTCCCTCAGTAAAGATGATTCATACTGGAAAATAAGGGGCCGTTATTTCTCTCCCGTCATTGTTAATCCTTAGTTGGAGCTTCTTCCTTCACTTCTGATCAGTTTACTTTGGTTAAACGATCCTCCATACTTCCACAGCAGCTGACCCGACTGACAGGGAGCGACGGGTTCGACCGTCGCAGCTGCCTATGTCAGTGCGTCACATCTACACTGGCTGTAAAATGTAAAAATAGAATTGCAAAAACAAAAAAGAATTGCAGGATATATTAGGGTAAGAACTCCTCTCATTTCCCATTTCAGCAGGAGCGATGCATGTTGTCCTGAATATACTAACGAAGGGGAAAAAGTCATAAAACCAGCCATCACAGGGAGTGTATTTTACAATCAGCGGAGCAGATGGATTAGGGGACCCAGGCCTTGTTGGGGAAGGTTGTGTGTGTCTGGTTGCTTTGGACTCACCAGATAAGGCAGAGTGGGGTGGCACACAAGTCCTGGAACAATAACAAACACTGGATTTATTGGCGCTGGCAGGGCTTGTGTTTACAGAAATCACCCTCGTGCAGGAGCTGATAAAAGCCTGGACATCACCACCAGAGTTCCCTTCACACTCACTGATGTGAGCAAATAATTTTCTCGTCAGCTTTGGTAAGCAGGCTGAACTGGTCTGTGCACACTGACTGCACCGATGAGGAAGTTCAGGGCTGTTGAAGGTGTCCCACACATCGTTGGCTTATCAGGGGGGTTAGGGTGCAACATATGGACAGGATGTTTCTGTTCTCAGATCCCAATCTACAGATCCTTTACCACAACGTTGCTCTCACGAACCTTGTGAACTTCTTCCTTAACCACAGTGGAGACGGCAGTTGTCAGTCAGACACCCTCATCAGTAGAATAGAATAATAGAATATATAAAATATATAATATCAATAATATACAACAATGTTGAACGGGAGACCTGTTGTCATGAAGAGGTAAACATTTTCATTATGTGGGACATGCTGCCACCTTTTGGTTAACTGTATGTGTTACACAGATGGCGTACTGTGGCGTGTGGCACTGGAGCAATTACAGGCTTTGGCATTGGTGTTTTTTTATTATAATCTCATAATAATTTTTTTGAGTCTAAAGAATCTATCAAAAAATTATTTATTACATTTGCAAATTACGTTTTATTAAACTGAAAGCCAAAAAACGAAAAGTTAATTACAAAAAGTACAAAGCATTCGAGGTATCCTGATGTTTCCACCTGCAGCAGACAGAGTGAGAGTGAACATTGGACTTACATTTGTCAGGTTGACAAAAACAAAACTATGAATTCCTGCTGATTTCACTCTTTGTCTGCTGGGTGTGTAAAGAGACGACTGTTCCTCAAAACTACTTCATAAAGTAATACAATGCCAGGTTTTGTGTTTACAGGTGATTCCGCTGCCCCCAAGTGGCCAAACAAAGGAATTAATAGAAGCTTTAGGTTTAAAATGTGTCCAACCTACAAAGTACAACTACCACCAATTTGTAACGGCTGTGTAATCAGATCGGCTTTTATAAAAATATATCAATTTATAACTCCATTAAAACGGCAAAACACTGTTAAAAGCTATAAGCATTGCTAATGGCAGACTCCGGGCTCTGTAGTGTGCAGGATGCGTTGTTAATTGTTCAAATGCTGTCATCAAAGAGGAAGCTGGTGAGATCAGTAAGGCTGTTAAAAAACGAATAATGGATCAACACAACAAACAAACAAACAAACAAACAAGTGACGACAACTCGTCTGCTGCAGGAGTAACAGTCCTCATCACACCCACAGCATGCCGGGGTTTTAACAAGAATAAAACTTTTCCTTTTAAAACGGCTTATCGTCCGCGTGTTTTCCTCAGAGCGGCCGGACAGTGAGGGTGAGGTCCGGCCCCTGCTGAGGGATGAAGTAGCGCTCCTCCCTGAGCAGGCGCAGCAGCAGGTCCTGGGTGTCCTGGGGCCAGCGGTAGATCCTGGTGCTCTGGAGCCAGTTGGGGACGTGTCTCTGCGACACAGACGTAACACACATCAGTCGCTGCGATGAGATGTGAGCTTCAGCTGCAGTAACCACCATTTACCTTTGACGTTGTGCTTCCTGATTTACTTAAAACACCAAATATTTAACCCAGAGCGAGATTTCCCCTCCCGGCTCACTGTAGATGTTCTGCTCTCGGCTCAGTTCACAACACTGTCTCCGAACATCCACAGTAAGATCAGGCCTTTGCGGCTTTGGGGGGTTTTGCTCTTCAGCTCTATTGTAAAATCAAGCAGGGAAGTTTTTCAGGGGCCGAACCCTGACACTATTACATTATTTACAGCCTGTTTAAACAGCTTTGTGACGATAGAAAAATATAGAAAATAGATGAATAATTTTGGATTGATATGGTTTTGCATACTCTTGCCCCACCACCTTTAAATGAATCCATCAGACAGAGGGCCGACAGTGACAGTGGCAGGACAGGGCGACCACTAGAGGGCACTGTGGGGTCAGGTGCACAAACTGTACCGTCAGTAAAGGGAAGTAAATACTGGAATGGTCAAAGCAGATCTGTGAAGGGTGAGGTAGATGTCCATGTGCTCTTTGATTATAAAGCAGGTGTAGGTTATTTCCCTCAGGAGCCAATGGCTGCTGAGTGCCGCGTCACTACGATAGCATCAAACTTAGCTAGCTCAAGGGAACGTTTTATCTGATTAGACAACTTATAAATGTTAATGTGTTTTTAAAAATGAGCTCGGGGGGTTCAATGTGTGCCATTGTTGGGTGCTACAACAATTCCACAACACTGTAACCAGGAAGGAAGGCGAGGCCGTGACCATACTTCCTGTAACTTGGCTGGTTAGCGGCGTGAACTTGGGTCAGGTGACTCTTCGCTGTGTTCTGCTGTTTATTGCTTGTACCTACCTTAGTTGCAGTAGGAAACAGCACAGGCACCAGTCTGAAGTTGCGGCAGCCTTGTTGGATGAACTCATTTTGGATCTGTGCCAACAGGGAAAGAGGATAATCAGCTCTCGCAGTGCTCAATAACTTTACTGTAAGAGTTTCACTTAATAACACAGGCTGAAAAAAATCAATACACTTGCTTCTTCCTTTATCTTTGTGTGGGTAAAATTGTTAGAATTTGTCCATGTCCTTTTTTTTTTTATTCTTTTCTTTTCTTTTTTTTTTACTGTGAGCTGAATTGGAGCCACTGATGCGCTTTTCAATTTACAGAACTTACCGAGGCGTTCACTGTAGTCTGGGAAATGTAATGAATACTGGACAGACACAGGCGTGAAAGTGAAGTTCATTTTCTCTCTTTGGATGACAATAAGTAAAAAGCTTCTTGGTCTTTACACACAACCACAGGCTTCACACACAGACTGTGACAGGCCACACTGACACTGTGGGAGTGGGAGGTCTGTACTTCCTCACCCTCCTGTCCTTTACTGGCATGTGTGAGGAGGGAGTTTTATGACATAATCTTATCTGGCGAAAGTTTTCCTCTCACCTGGTTGTGGATGTATTTAGTGTGCAGGCCGTGGTCGTCGTCTCCATCTCCCTCCACGTCCTCCTTGTACTTGGGGCTGATGACGACGATGATGAGCACTGATTTCTGTAAAAACAAATAAATTCATCTCACTCTCAGCTCTCGCAGAAGACTACATTATAAACGGATTCACTCAGACTTACATCATTCAAAAAGCTGTCCATCCATTTGGTGATGCCCATCCTTCGGATTGGATTATCGAAGATGTCAATCTGATGAGAGACAGGCAGAGTGTGAGTGTTTGTACGGAAAGTCACTCAGACACAGAGGTGAAGGACAGATGTTCTTACCGCTGGTTTGAATCCTTGATCCGTCAGAAACTTGGTGAAGAGAATAATGTCTTGGGCTGTGTCCACTGAATATGTGATGAAAACGTTCCCTGTCAAATGGAGATGTGATTATTACATCATTTAAGCTCAGGATAAAAAAAAATAAAAAAAAACATTACACGCACGTGCTGATGCAGGGACATGGATGGGACTTACTGCATTCCTCAGGTAAGCTTATGGTCTTCCTGATCTCCCTTGTGGCCGGTCCTGAACGTGCACCGTAGGAGCAATCTATGCTGACCTCGTGCATCACGTCGCGAGGAGGCGCCGCGCGCTGAGCCACGGACTCTGGGGCGGGATGTGGGGCATCTGGGAGTTGCGGCCTGTTTTCGGGGAGATTCCTGCGAAAGGAAATAATCAGAAACAGTTACGGTTCATGACGTAAGCGGAGAGTCGGTGCTGACAATATTAGATCGCAATGACAAGCAGGACGGGAGATGTTCTCCCACCGGGACCGCTGGTGGTGTTGAGGCTGCTGGTGTGGATCTGCTGAGTAATGATGCTTATTATGATAACCATAATCATGAATGTGACGGCGCTGGTTTGTTGGAGGGCAGCACGCACAATATCCGAGATGACTCCCCAGCTTTGGGTTGGCGCCTGCAGGGAGACACGGAGGAGAACTTCAAAACGCAATCCATCACAGACGTCACGATAACCAGATCTGTGAACTAGGTTTTCATGTCGTTGTGTTTTTGTCCTGCTTTTGTTTTACAATAATTGAACAGCAGTTTTAGTTGCTGTAGACTGATGTAGCCTGCAGCCAATATTATACACTACTATCAATATCTTTAAAATGTACAATAATTGCCACGGGGAAATTAAAGTCGTAATTCTAAGAATAAAATCATAATATTTCAAGAAAAAAAAGTCATAATGTTACGTTAATTAAAGTTGTAATATTTCAAGAGAATTGAAAATGTAAAATTTCGAGAGAAAAAAAAACTTAATTTTAAGAATATTACATCAACCAATAAAAACAGGTGAAAGGTCAGTCAGTGGCAGCTGCTGATGATGATGATGCTGCTGCTGCTGCTGCTGATGATGATGATGATGATGATGATGAGCCAAAAGAGGAAGTTTCTCCTTATTTGTGAAACCTAAAGTAGAACTTGACAGGATGCTCCACGTTCCTCATTTTAAAGCTTCTGATGTTTCCCCTCTAAAACATCACAGAACCTACAATCACAACTTTATTCTCGTAATATTACGACTTTTTTTTTTTCTTGAAACTGATTATTTTTCCCTCCAATGTGGCTCTAACACTCCGTCCTACCATTAAGACCCAGACAAATAAAATTAATTTTGGTTGAAGAGCTCATTAAAACAACGATGCACACCTATTCAAACCGCAAGGGAAACAGGAGGTCTACATGAAGAATTAAGCAGGTGTGTGACACTGTGTGAAGCTGATAAATACATTAATCCTATGTTCATAATGTGTGATACACATCATCACACAACGCTGGCACCAGCACCAGACGTCCCTGTGTTTGTACTGACAGTGAAACACCTACACTGAGCAGGCTGCCTGTGGGCTGCAGGGTGTTGTGACGGGCCGTCGTAGGTCCAGTTAAAGTCAGACACCAGCGGGAGAGGGGCTTCCAAGCTTTCGACCTCCTCCACGGAGCAGTGCTGGGGCCAGTTCGAAGGGCCTGCAAAGCCCCTACAGGGGTTCAGCATGCGGCCCCGTTCATACAGCTGTATCTCTCTGAGGCCATGAGGCCAAACAATGGCAGGGTGGGGTGGGTTCACTTGTCCTGGGTGTGTTTGCGGTACAAAGCGGGGATCCGGAGCAGCGTGGCCGGCAGCTCTGGGTTCATGCTGGCGCTGGCTCTCGGGGAGTCTCCTCTGCCTGACGTCGTGTGCTCCTCCACCAGGCGGCTCGGTGTCGTAGTCCTGCGGCCTCCGGCTGGTCTCTGTATGTCCGCTACACTGTTCACAAGAGGGAGGCCAGACCAGGTCCAGACTGGAGGACGTCATGCTCTCATCCATCTCCACAGGAACACTCTGATGAGGACAAGGTCCTGACAACAAGAGCCGACAGAAAAAACAGGTTTGCACTTCACTTGTTTTGTCTCACGTGTTTATTTAGCAGGTACAAAGCACATGAATAAACATAAATGTAAATGTGCCAGAATTTGCCAAATAACTACTTTTCATCTGCTTCCCTGGACACATGGCAATGTCACGGTTTGCCTTAAGGACTCTTTGGGTTTGGACTTTTTAAATCAGTTTGGTCATTGTCATTTCCTGTTTTATTTTGAAGTGGCTTCCCTCGCGTGTCTCTTGTTTTTTACTTCCTGTTTTTGTCCCGTTTCCCTCCAGTTTGATTGGCTGCCCCGCCCTGATGTGTTTCACCTGTGTTTTACTGTCCTTCTGAATTTAAGTCTCTTGTCTTCCCTCTGTCCTTGTCGGTCTGTCTGTTGTCTCCATGGTGATTCATCTGGATCTCCAGTTTTCCTTCTTTTCCTAACTTATTGGATTTTCTATGTTTTTTTGTTCCTGGCTGGTTTATTTTAGATTCATGTTCTTTTTGAAAGTTTCCCTTTTTGTTATTTTGTTAAACCTTTTTTTTTTTTGCAACTTTCGTTTTGGCTTGTCTGAATCTCAGGTTCAGTTCTTCTGCAAACCTGACAGTCAAGAAGTCGCTGAGTGAAGCAGTGAAAAAATCTAAAGAGAATCTAAAGAGAATCTAAAAGTCTTGCTGGTAGTAAGCACAAACAACAAGGGCAAAAGAAATGACACAAAGATTTAAGTATTTGAACTTTATGTTTGCTGATAACTGATTAAACATTTCTAGTTAAATTTGAATGACGTGTATGTTTTCAGGTCTAAAGGAATAAAAACAGTGTGTGGCAGCATAGTCGGAGCCAGTCCATGCAGGAGACAAGGATCTGCATATTTAATGATGTTTTCTTGGTTTAATATGTAGTATTTTGTGTGTAATGCTTTAGTGTTAGCCTGGGACCAGGTTGTCAAACAAAATGTGATATGAGAAAAGATCACAGAGTGCATATACATCACTGCAGCCTCTGTCATGCAACTGCAGATATATAATATCTTAAAATCTCAAGGTAAATTTGACCCTGTGGTTCCAGGTAGAGAGGTGACCTCCACCTTTTGGATATTCAAGAAACGACAGGATGGTTTAATACCAATGACATCCTCAGCTCCGGATGACCTGCAGGATCCAATGAAAGCTTGTTCTGTTGGTCCAGCTGGACACATATATAAGACTTAAGTAAACTAGTGGGGGAGAGCATATGCTACTGGACTGTTTGTGAACAAAAAATCTGGCTTTGCTTTTTCTTATCAGTTTAACTACCGCGTGAGAGTGTGTCTATCATGGCTTAATATACTGTGGTGTTAACAGCTGTCTTTAAGCCAGATCCCATTCTGTCATTAGTTTGTTTGTATTTATTCTTCCTATGCCTTTGTTTACATGTGAATTCCTGGACAGAACTCAACAGTTTTTTTGACGTTATATTTCGCTGTCTTCTTCCAAAGTTTCTCGTGTCAGCCTTTCCTCCCAGCTGATGCTCTGGGAAACTTTTGAAGCTGTGTTGGCTTACAGTCAGGTACAGAGTTGGATTCAAAGTTTTACTTTTTGTCTACAAGTCACTAAATGGTCTGGGCCCTAAATATATTTCTGAAATGTTCCATGTATATGAGCTTAATGGGCTGAACTGTAACTGGCTTTAAAGAGAAGCTAAAAACTGCTCTATTGTCCTCTGCTTTCAGATAATCTTTTAATCTTTGCACCTTGATGAGATATTATCTTTTTTACAATCTGTGCTTTTATACTGTTTTTCACTGCTTTTTACTTCTCTTGTTTTACTTCTTTTATTTCTGTTAAACACACTGAATGATCTAAACATCTAACACTGATGATGGTGCATTTTCAATATGGTGTAAACACAGGGAAATCTAGGTTAGAAACAACGATATAAGATGGTGGATTTGGTCTTTCCTGATTTAAAACTTGTAATGTTCAGATGCTTCCTAAGATTCCCTTGGTGTCCCAGATGATTCTGGACTGATTGACAGTATGAAAGACGTTTCATTTGCAGTTTTTGGAGATCGCAGGATTTAAAACCGTCTTGCCAGGGTTCCTTTCTTTATTTAATTCAATCTTTTTATCTATAAGACATGTTTGTATTCCCAGATGGCTTGTCATCTCTATTTTCAGAGACTAAGGTGCAGTTGATTTAACACGTCATAGAATGGAGAGCAGAACATTTGTGGTTATTTCATCACAGACTGGACAGATTTATGTCTGATAAGGTTTTGTCTCCTACCTTTGAAAGAGTCCATTTTCTCACAAAGTGTCTGTACCTCTGGTGAAGTGAAAATAAAAACAGTGTTAAAGGAATTTAATAGTGCACGACACCTTTAAAGAGACACGTACAGTACAGCACCTTTACAAAAGCACAACTGGGACAAAAACAACTTCAGTTTCAACCAACAGCAAAGCCAGTACCAACAGGTAAATGATCACTGTTGAAAATACACATTTTACAAAGTGAAAGTAGATAGAAAAGTATTAGCACATAATGAAATTGGATCTTCCTCATTTAATGAAACACTACACAGACCTTTATAGAACCGTCTGGGTGTAACATATCAACTCGATCACTGCAAACTAGCACAAAGGTCAAAGTCACTGATCTACAGGTATGTGAAGTATGTCTCTTTAAAAACTAGTTTTTATTATGTTTTCCCCTCACATACACATAATTCACACACAGTGAATTAAAAAACACGTCACTGTACTCCCACACCTACCTTTCCTCAGAACTCCTTATCCCTCAGACACGGCACAACCCAGTTCTGAGGCAAACAGGAAGCATTCCCACTGCTTGTTCCTTTCTGGTTTATGCAAAACTTGGAAGTCCCGTGACCCATTTATGCAAATGATGCGGGGCATTAACACTACAGCTGCCAATCAGGTTGTTTCTTCAGCAGGGTAGGCGTCCTGCAGCCAGTCAGGTTTAACAGCTCCTTTGATTTGAAAGGTGTCGGGTGTCTTTTTCAACTAACCAGTGGAAAAGACAATATAAAGCAATGAATTACAATAATATGACAAGTAAAGAATGACATTATACAGCTGAACCTCATGTAGCAGTTGTGGTTAACTAAAGGACACACCAAAGATATTACAATTCATTCTGTGTGGGCCCATGAAGGAATGTAATGTATGACATACATGTCCTTATATCAACATATATACATGTCAAAATATCTATATGATGAATTTTTATATGGTATAGAGTATATAGTAACATTTTGTGACCATATATGTTGACAATATATGTTTAATTTATATATGCAAGACAATTCAAATATATGAACATATATATATATGAAAAAAAACATTTGTATGGTCAAGACATACTGTATATGTCAATATATGAAATAGTTCCAATTTCTAGTAGGTTTTATATATAATTTTTACATCTATGTTTTTGTTTTATTTGTGCATATTTCATATACGGACATTCAAATATGTACATGTATGACATTTGCATATGGCCGAACAAGAACACCCCAAACCAAATTTAATGGCAATCCAGTAGTTGCAACAAATCTCATCAAAGTCATTCCAAGTTGAACTTTCAGGCTAAAGTCTGATCATTGTCTGTTCTACTCTCTGTTTGAGGTCGGTTAGCACCACAGTCACAGGGTCGCTGGATGGCAACGAATTATGATCCGCAACTGAGAAGACCTTCATGGTTGTGTGGGTGAGAACGGAGCCCAGCTCACGTGCCTTCGCCTTACAAGTCACCACCTGGACCAGCTCCCGCCGGAAGCGCTGGCTGACCATGCAGTAGAGCAGGAAGTTGGTGGTGGAGTTAAGGTTCTGCAGCATGTTGGCTAAGTCTCCGGCCACGTTGATTGGGATGCTGTAGTTGTTCCTGTTGAAGTTCTCGTTGTTGTACTTTGTTCTCAGGATGCAGTACGTGACGAAGCGCGGCAGGCTGAGAACGACGAAGGTCACGGAAACGGTGCCCAGCAGCAGGATGGTCCTCCTCAACATGCCCCTGGTGCTCCTCCCGTGCATGACGCGGCGCTCCTCCTCCGTGAAGAGGTTGCTGGCACGGCAAAGATGATATCCGATGAGGTAGTTAAAGATGATGACCAACACAATGGGGATTCCCCCTGAGAGGAAGGTGGTTATCCACACTATAACGGTAGAGTAGGCCTCATCACGGTATCGACACCTGGGCAGCGTCACGTTCTCCCCGTCCACGGTCAAGTTGACCTGTGTGACAGTATTGATCCAGCCCAGTGGCACAGAGACCAGGTGTGACACCAGGACGATAGCCACGCAGGTCAGCTTAGTGACCCGGGCCTGGGAGAAGTTCTGCCTGGCTGCCGTGCTGCGGAGAACGAGGTAACGCTCGATGGTAAACACCACCACGATCCAGGAGGAGCTATACAGCGACCCATACTGCAGGAACCCCAGGATGCCACACCAGGGGTGGGAGTGCCAGAAGGGCTGCAGCAGCCAGAAGGTGAGGGTCAGGTCAATGAGGATCACCCACACCAGGTAGAAGGTGTCCACAATGGCCAGACAGCTCAGGTAAACGATGGCCGTGTTGGACATCCCACACTTACGGAAGCAGATCATGTAGAATGTGAAGAGGTTGGCTGAAGGAAAAGACAGGAGCAAAGGAGCTTATTTATCTGACTGGTCCTCCATGAAGTGTAATTACTTTACTGATTAAAGCAACATTAATGTTGGCCACTTGGCAGCAGCAGAGGGAGCAATAAAAAGAAAACAACACAGTTTACAGTTCTTGTTTTTGATGTTATGTGTATTCACCAATGTGCTGCACATTCAGACATTTTTCTCTGCCAGCAAGCTACTACCTTCTAACCAAGCTAACTAACCTGGAATACCCACGATGCAAAGCAATGGGTAATAGATCTTCTGAACAGTGACGAAAATGGTGACGAAAATGACGCTGGCTCCCTCCATGACTCATTCACTGCCGGGCAGTCGCTCACATGCTAATACCTGCAATAAAGCCATTAGAGAGCCAGGTGAGGGGGAGAAGAGTACGGTAAAGGAATACTGGTGAGGGTCTGCAATGCACATTAGAGCTTTTTACTGCATGATTTGACTTGACTCTTAAACTGAAGGTTTTAAGCCTGTTGCACTTAATTTAAGGTTCTACTGTGTAAACTGTGACTTCACAGAGAAAACACAAGAATTAAACAAAGCCATATAGATTAATTAAGCTTTGGAGATAGATATATAATTTGTATATTGCATGTCAGAGATGTCATTTTACTCCTCCCTTTAACCCGTTTGGTTGCACAAATAATGTCTCATCAGTCGCAAAAATGTTTTTTAGTTCAGTCATGTTTGAACTCGTACACAGAGATTTGACAGGTAAAATAACTTGATTCAGCTCCAGAGGTAAACTGAGCTGCTGACTCACAATAAACCCTGGATGCAGGATGATCTCTCTGCTCTGGGTGGGTCTCACCTGAGAGAAACAAGCAGTTTCTTTTCAGTCTCTAACTACCTGGAAAATATAGCTGTCCAGTGTTACGTGATAACAGAACATAAAGACCTGCTGTTATCTTGATCACACACAGATCCCTGCAGCCGTCTGTATAATGGTTGTCTTCTGAGACTGACTTTCAGTGAATATAAAGAGATTAAGCCAAAATATTTCCATCATCCTTTTTTCTTTTACATTTCACAGTGAATTATCAATATATCGATAATAGAATACCAATAATCTGGGCTGATGCGGGTTAATTATCTTCATCTGGGTGAAAATCTCAGTCCGCAACGTTAAAACAGATAAAATCAGACATACCTGGTGTGTATGGAAACTCCTTGGTGGCTTCCTTACAGATATAAAGGTATCGTACAGACGTGGCTCTGTCCACAGAGGTGCAGGCCAGCTGGAAGTGTTTTCACAAGGACCAGACCATCGATGATATGAGGAGGGATGTGTGCGACAGCTGCAGCTGCCGCCTCTATAAAGCTTCGGGAGGAGGGAGTCGCATCACCTGAGATATAGGTGACACGAAGAGTCAGTTGTTTCCAGAAGGAGATACTCAATATCTGATGCCCATAAATGATGAAAAATTAAACAAAATTATGAATTAACACAAGCCTTTCCAATTGTAGGACTTTGGATTTATTATATTTTTATTATCTTTAGGTATTGATTTTTGTGGGGAAGTGTTTAGAAAACGATCGGTTAGGAGCTCCTAGCAAACCAACCGTCACCTTATTGATCCAAGAATCAATTCTTTCTCAGGGACACAGGTTTGGGTTTCTTTCTCCACCGGAAAACTGCAACTGAAAACAAAGTTGTGAGAATGAAAGAAAGATGTTTTTGGAGAAAGAAAAATGGAAATATTTATGTTAAAAAAGGAAAACACTGCTATAGGCGGTACTTGAATTTCTGTTCACATAAGCAAACAATGATGCTGCACAGTACTGATGGGGCTAAACTGAGTCTGGGTGACTGGTTCACAGGTGACTGGTTAACAGGTAAGCCTGTTTGTCAATGTGGCTAAAAGTGAAGCTTCTGGTAAAGGGCCCCAAGGATGAAATGCTCAGAGGGCAAAGTGTGCAGCTGCATTAAAATAATTCAGCTGCTGGTAAAAACCTCCTGAACATCTGGTTCGTAGATTATCAGAGAAACAATCAAAACAAAGGTTAGCATCAATCCCAGTTCCCAACTCTTCCCTGACGTCTGACTTTAGGTCTGTTTGATTTCCTGAACCACTGACACTGAAGGAAAACAAACCGGGAGGAGCTTACGGTAATGGTGGTGAAGACAACAACTCCCATGATCCCACGCTAATTCCAGACGTCACCCAATGCTGTCTTTTGTTATCGTTTTGACTGAGAGACCCCTAGAAGCAGAAGTTACAGACTGTGCGTTTAAATGTCAGGATGTTTGTATGAGGTTGGTTTAAATTCACAGCTGAGTTGGACTTGAGGAGTTAATAGAGAGAAATGCATGAAATTTCTCTGTCTTGCTTTGTCGTGTAGAGCTAATCTTTTCAAGATGCAGGCAACTTATTAAATCTCTCATCCAGGTACTTCTGGTTTTAGCCTGTTTCTAGTACTGAATTCTCTGTAGCAGTGCTGGAACAGGTATCTGACAGTCTGACTGTCAACCGGGGGAACTTTTTAAAAACCTTATGAACCTCCTGCCAGAAAGAGCTTATGATTGAAGAAGGCTAGAACATATGATAATGATTTGTCTCGGAGGATCTGCTCTGTCTCCAGCATCTCCACAATTTACTGTAATGAGTCTTTTGAACAGGAGTAATGAAGAACCTGATGAGGTTTTTCCAACAAAAATCTCTCCATAAAGCTGAACCTGATCTTTTCTACTGACTCCCATTCTCTCCCTCAGTACATTTAGGTTTCCCTCCCTTTCTCATTTTTGTTTTACATACATCGCGTTAAAAGTTTTGATAAGGTCTCACGGTTTGAGTAGAAAACATTCGCCTCAATGAAGATTATACTGATGAAGATTATAAGTTTGCATGTGGACGGTAGGAACATGTCCCTAACAATATTAGTTTTTTTTTGTGTATTGTTTGTTTTTGTGATGTTTTTATTCCACCCACAGGCTGCCAACTTATCGCCCATGGTTGTTCAGTTAGTGCTGATTGTTGAATTGAGACGTTAAACTAGACAAGACTATTTGGGGAACACGGGATCCACCAGGAACAAAGGTGGTGTTTTTTATTTTGTTCCTTTAAATTAGGACAAAGTAAGAAAATTGTTTGTCCAGGTTTGTCTGATGCACAGTTGCTCATGCCTCAGTTTGATTCAGAGCAGGTTTTGGACCCTGTTTGAGTCAAATTGACAGCAGTAGTAAGGTCACACACACACACACACACACACACACACACACACACACACACACTAGTTGAAGCACACAAACACTCGTGTGTAAAATAAATGTCTTGGAAAGAGTGTAAAATGTTTATTGTTATTTTCTGAACTTCAAACGCCAAATCACTGAATTAACAAAACAAGTTATGTCAAAAATGGAAATAAAAGATGTAAAGGAAGGAAGTTAGCAACACTTAAAAACCATTTAGCTGTAAAAATGAAAAATTAGGGGCTTTTCATCGGCCATGAAACCATCTGCAGAGACCAGATCAGCAGCCGGGACCAATTCAGCTTCAATTCAAACTTTAAAATCTTCAGTTCCTGTTGTGAATTGCAGCATGAATTGGCCCCAAAGCTTCTCTGAACTGACAGTACAACCGTCTCTTAAAGGATCACTTAAACAGGTTAAAAAGAAAAACATGATCTGTAAAAACCAAAGACTTAAATACTGATAGAACATAACATTGTCATTAAAAGATAAAAGAAGAAATGAGTCAGGAGGTGAGGTGGTCCAGGTTCAGCTGCAGGTCGGCACCCTGCAGGCTCAAGTGGAGGATGTGCAGGAGACGAGGGAAGGAAAGATAAAACGCCACAGACGTCGTTGATGATGAGGAGGAGAGGCCTCGGATCGACAGTTCAGATAAAGGCAGATATACTCTTCTTCTATTAAGTCAACTTGTCTTTTCTCCCAGCTCAACAAAAACAACACTTGTGGTACAAAGACAGAAATATTCCACTCAGATTTTCTCAAAATTAGAAGCGAGGAGGGATATGTTGAAAATCCTTTCACGCTCGGCTTTAATTTACAAAACATGTGACGTAAATCATTTGTAAAAGAACCTTGTTCCAACAGCGTCGTCTAACAGCTAGCGCTCCGAGGAACGTTTGGCGGGAAAAGACAAAAGGCTGATGGAGGATTGCGTCATGCTTGTCCGAAGAAGCCTCTGCAACAACTGAAGAGTGAAGAATAAAGCAATAATCTGGGGGAGATTTTTTTTTTTCATTATGAGGAGGGAAAAAAATAAAATGGAGGCTTCCAATTCAATGTCTAGAAAATAATACAGGAACTACAATATAATACAGATTAACTGTGCCCACTCAGGTGCTCATCTTCCTTTGCCTTTATTATTTTTATCATTATTATTATTTTGTGCAGGAGAAAATAAAATCTGAAACGGAAGCAAACAAATAAACTAAAACAAGCCTTTCTTATTTACACTGAATACAGGTTTTTCATTGCATTATAACAACCCCAGTTGTCGCTGTCCATCCTCCACCTCTCAGCTTCCCTAATCATCGCATTTGCAGAGTTCAGACACTAGGGGGCGTGTCAGAGACTGAGGGTTGTGTTTCTGGGGGTTTGTTGTTGGAACTGAAATGCTCACGTTGAGCTGAGGAAGCTGTACAGATCCCTAAAATAAAGGCCTATCTGGGAAGGCTCCAGAGTTTTTTAACAGCACTGATTCGGCTAATGTGGTTCCAGCCCCGAGCCGCCGCCGCCGCCCCCCCCATCCCTGGAGAGAGAGAGAGAGAGAGGGTTTGGAGGGGGTTTAGAGGTTGTCCCCGGGCTGGTACTGAGGCTCAGTGGCTGTGAAGTAGTCCTCCAAGAAGGCCTGCAGGTACTCGAAGGTGGGCCGCTCCTCGGCGTCCTTCTTCCAGCACTGCAGCATCAGCTCGTGCAGCGAGATGGGGCAGTCCTGGGGGCACGGCATCCTGTAGCCTCGCTCCACCTGCTCCAGCACCTCGCGGTTGTTCATCCCTAAAAACATCAAAACACACAGAGCACAGGTTTGCTCAGGGGTCTGAAACCGATCAATGAGACAGTTTGACACAGACCTCCAGCAGACGGCGAGCTTTAAACTCCCAGTGGAGCCGAGTTTTGCTTCACATCTTGAATTTGCAAAAACAAGAGACTGGTACTAAAGAAGTTACGTTTCCATGTACACAAGCAACTTGTTGTACTTGTTTGTGTAGTTTTAATGTTTTTATCTTTTACTCAAGTAGATTTTAGGAAGAAAATAAAACTTTATTCTGTAATATTTGTAGAGGGTCCTCGCTTCACTTTTATTAATTTATAGTTGTTACAGTGCATATCCTGTTCTTCCCTTCTCAAACTTCAGACTGATGGTCTGATGAACTGATGGACACAGTATCTGTGCAGTAAATACAGAAACCTTGTTCCAAACCTTGTTGGATTATGAAGAAGTTTCTAGTTGTGAACCCTCGTCACGTTTGAGACCCAGAAACAATCCAGTACCCCCCCCCCTCACCTGGGTAAGGCACCCGTCCCTTGGTGACCAGCTCTGTGAGCAAGATGCCAAACGACCACACGTCTGACTTGATGGTGAACTTCCCGTACAGCGCAGCCTCCGGGGCCGTCCACTTGATGGGGAACTTTGCACCTGCGGGAAGCAACTCGGTGTTTACTTCTGTTTGTTCATTCAATTCCTTAATTACTCTGAGTTTGTGGCGAACATCGTTACAGAGTCATGGGAGTGTCTTAGAAAAGAATATAAATGTAAAAGTATAAGAAAATAAATGTGGAAATATAAACAGGAATACATAAGTAAATCTAAAAATGTGGAAATATAAAGAGAAATATATAAAAGAATAATAATGCTTTTCTCTTATATAATTATTTTATTTATTTCTCTTTATATTTCCAATTCTTTTTAATTTACTTATTTATTCTTTTATTTACACATTTATTCTCATAATCTATTATAGATGTATTCTTTTTTTCTGGCACTCCTATGACTCCATACGTCATCACATCAGTGATCAACAGTTTCTTGATTTTATCATAGAAACAGAATCTGTACGTCAGAAATTGTTAACGATTAACCGACTATTGATTGTGGATTTTGGAAATTGCTTAAAACTGACATCGTTAGTCACTAGTAGATGTAAAAGGAAAATCTCCTTCAGTCTCATTATCAGCCTATGAGAACTCCAGACTGCTGCGGTGGTCAATGCGAGAATGACATTAACTTCCTTATAAACTGCGTCTCTCTGCAGCAGCTGGTTCTGATTGTAGCTTCATTGCTAACTATTAGCTCGTCATTTTGATGAGGGCCCGCTGAGAGAATTTCCTCCATGACCTAATGCAGTCATCACATGAGTGTGTGTGTGAGTGGGAACATCAGGAATGTGCATTTCACATAACATATGTGCGTGAGAGGAGTGTGCAGCCCCACCTTGCCGAGCCGTGTATTCATTGTCTTCAATGAGCCTGGCCAGGCCAAAGTCAGCGATCTTGCACACCAGATTGTCTCCCACCAGGATGTTGGCGGAGCGCAGGTCTCTGTGGATGTAGTTCATCCTCTCGATGTAGGCCATGCCTGCTGCCACCTGGAGCACAGCACAGAGAGCAGGCTGCATCAACACCAACCCTTTCCTCACGCTCATTCTGAAATGTGATTCGCTTCAGGAAACATGGACGGGAGCCTGTTCCAAATCTTTACATTATGATTAAGTTCCACTTTGTTTCTGGCTGGTAGAGAAAAAAACAACGTGTCCAGCCACTTAGTGAAAATGATTCTGACTCTGCAGAAAAGCAGTTTGTTTCAGACGGAGTCTAAAGTCTGGAGCCAGGGTGTGAAACATGTTGGATAAGGGAAAAAGCCTCTTACGGTCTCTTGGGATTAAGAAATGCCAATAGCTGCTGTTACTTAAACATGCAGACGTAACAAATACTGTTTCTACTGTTTCACCTGCCGACAACAGAAGACCTGGTCAGAGGTTGATTTCCCGTTATAGACGGTTTTATCACCTGCTACAAATCTGGGTCACAATAAGACGCACTGCTGTAGACTGCATGTTATTGGCCAGGAAGAAACGAGCGTTTGTTCTATAAAATGAAGAACAAGAACAGGTGAGAGATATACAGCTTTCTGTTACCAACCATCTCGTTCTGTGTGACTGTTGTTGAGCGATGAAACTCAACACTCTTTGCCTATGTTTCAAAATAAAAGCGGCTCACGGAGCTGCTGGAATGTGAAATTTAATGTGAAATATTTGTGCAGGAAGGGCTGAGTTTAACCTTGACAGCAAATACAAAAAACTAAACAGAAACTGACACTGAGTAACAGTGGTGAGTGCAATCAATCAGTCAATCGACAAAAGCCTAATTGGAAACTGTGTGAATAATCGATTACAGTAATCGCTGCATTCTTCAAGCAAAAACATTCTTTGGTTTCAGCTTCTCAAATTGAAGGATTTGATGTTTTTCTTTCACATATTTGATGGTAAATTGAATATTTTGGGCCTATAACAGGAACTCTAGATATGTCACCTTGTGCTTTAGGTGATTATAAATTGGCATTTTCTCTATTTTTCAACATCTTACAGACAAATCGATTCATCCTACATTAAACCTGCTTCAAATAAAAGCCTGATGTTTCCAAATTATCTGAAATCTTTTCTGTTGTTTTCCAGAAACCGATGATGACAAACGGCTCCTTTCATCCCTTTAATTGCGACAGTGAAGCGTCTCCAGATAAAAACATGGAGTCCTCTGATGCGGGTCTACCTGAGCCGCCATGTCCACCAGGTTGGGCAGCTTCAACCCTCGTCCCTCTCCGTCCTTCAGGAAGTCCAGCAGGCTTCCTAAACAGATGTCTCGTGTTAGTCATGTTGTAGATACACACACTGAAGACTCTTTGTCCTACATCCATCAGAAAATCAATGGTGTCCTATTGCCCCCACACTCTATAGGACCCGTTCCTGACTCAGCGATCACAGTGTCACAGCTGAATGTTCTGGACCTGAGGTTTTTTGTAAATCTGCCTTTTATATCATGAACAATAATGACAGAGGATGAATCCAGGAGGAGGGGACATTCATAAAACTGCTTCTCTCTTTTTTGAAAACACATTCTCCAGTAATAGGCTGACCCAGATGTGGCAGCATCTGTATCCAACAGACGCGGCGATGCACATCAAAAGTTTCCACTATTGCGCTCTTTGGTGGTTTAATGTGCGTCCACGCCTCTTTCTTCTGGGGTTTCTACATTCCAGGGTTTTGGGAGGATTGTTTTGAAATAAAGACCTTAATCATCTTCAGCCTCTTTGAAACAAAAGCTCACCATACAACAACAGTTACAAAAACACTTCTGCTTTAATGAAAGGGATTTTTTACAAAGCCCGCATGCGAGCCAGTGCCGTAGGCTTTAAACACACTAGCACACAAAGAGGAGGATAAATAGAATCCGCCGCTTTAGATTTAGATCGTTTTAGTACATTTTACTCTGCTGTTGTTTGCAGAACTACATTCGCTGTGGGTATTCACGGTCCCCAGAGGAGGATTCATGATTATTTCAGAAAAACCCTGAGACTTTTCTTCTTGTACCAACACCAGGATAAACATTTGCATGGCCAGACACAAAACATTTAAACCTAATGGCAGATGCTCATCTCTGCTAAATGATGCCTGAGAGAGAAGGAACCCCTCTCCACTTTCCAGTTTCTCCTTTAGGCCAAAATATAAACTTAATGAACCAAATATATAACCTTCATGACATCTCTAACAGGCAGATAGTGAATACTTTACTGAACACATTCTTGCATCCCAGGAGAACATCTGCTCTCACCCTTTGTGCAGACGTTTGTGCAGCAGAGCAGACCAACTTCACAGAGGTGTGACTGTGTGTTGGGGCGACAGAGATGTCGCAACTTCTTCTACAAGTTTCTGACGGATGATGAGCGAAGACGTCTCCGCTGCAAAACCTCAACCGCGAATGAAACAATGCAAACCCAAAGACGGCAGCAGTTTCTTCTCCTCGTAAAGAGACGAGGCAAAATAGAAGCAGCCTGGATGAATCTACTGTCTCACAACAACACGCAGATACAACCTGATCACATGCAATAAATATATATGATGTTGACGCTGACGATACCAGCGTTGAATTTATAAATCAAACCCCAATGAAACAATCACAGTCTCATAAACACAGATTCAGGGTTTCATACGTCACAAACCTCAGGAACCGAATCCTGTCAACTGGTGGAAACCTTGTCAGTACAGAGAGAGAGACAGTTAGCATTAGCACAACCGCTAACACTGTGTCAGCCACTGCCAGCTACAAGCTAACAAACAACATAAACAAATAAAGGCGCTAACTACGCTAACGGTTCTGATCCGGCTGCTAGTCTCTGGTTCTGGTCTCATCTGAGTCTCTCTGATGTTTCCTCCTCTAACCATTGTGATACTCTCTGCTCTGTCACCTGTCCACCTGGAGCAAGCAGGAGGTGGTGGGCGGGGCATAAGGCCTGATCCAGATTTCTCAAACAGGAAGTAAGAGCTTCAGACCCAGTTTTTGATTTTGAGGATTTTCTAACAGGAGTTTAAAACACGTCTGAAGGAACTTTAACTTCTATTAAAGAAAAACAATGAGCACTCGGCCTCAAGGTGCTACTAGTGGAGCTGTAGATTTCAGGTCTTGTTTCAGTTTTACATTTTTAGATCACTTCCTACAGCTCTGTAAAACAGGAGAAAAAATTAATGAGCTGAGCTTCTGAATCTGCAAAAACTCAAAGAACGATCCACGTCATGTTAGCGAGAGGTGTTATCCGTGTGCGTGTTCACATACCTTTGCCCATGTACTCTGTGACGATGTAGATGGGCTCCTCAGACACCACGGCGTACAGCTGCACCAGCTTGTCGTGGCGGAGTTTCTTCATGATCTGAGCCTCCTCCAGGAAGGACTCTGGGGACATGGTGCCAGGCTTCAGAGTCTTCACCGCCACCTTCGTGGTGCCGTTCCACGTTCCTGGTTTCACGCACACACACACACACACACACGACGGCGTCAGCGCACCGCGAGCATCGATTCATATTCAAATCTTATCATTTGAAAGTCAGACTCGACAACCCCGCTGTCTCACCTGAGGAGATGATTGGCAGCTGAGAGGAAACTCTCTCCAAAAACAAGGGGAGAAGTCTGGCTTTGAAATGACAATGAGGTGAAGGCGCACCACAGAATGAGATCAGGAGACAGTATGAGAATCCGTCCACCTTTAATTCTCATGCCCGGAGGTTGTGCTGAAGGATAATTAAATGGGTACGAGATTTAGAGTGGACCTTGATTTGAAATGGCTTTTTAAAGCCAGCATCCAGCAGGGCTTTGAGAGACACAATACGCCAACACGGGAGCAGATAATCCTTTGTAGGATGATTAACAAAAGCGAGCCTGTAAGCTCCTCACTGGGTGCACGCCAGCTACTGTAACGCAGCAGGGCTGTGCCACCGAGGTGCGCTGCCTCCAGTTACTGTGCCACAGTAACATACGAGAACATGTGGATCACTGGACTCACTTCAATAAAGTAGTCCTCCATTTATCTCATTCTGTGGATGCGGGGACGGGGTTAGGCTCCGTGTGTTTGTGGGTTAGGGGGTTTCATTTGAGAGTAGGCTTCTGTAGTGATGCTGGGTGAGGATCTAAGAGGCTGGGTGTCGTCATGGTGAGGACCTATCCCCCGGTATCTGTCCGGCTGAATGTGGAAAGTGCGCAGGTCTGACGTGGCAAATATTAAAAACATGAATGAGACGTTGTGGAATAAAGAATAAAATATAAATAAACTGAGAAACTATTTATTTAATGAATTGTTAGAGCTCATCAATATGAAATATTATTTCATCATTCCTAAAGGAGCATTTATGATGCATCTCCCAAGACCCGTTTTCCTTCCAGACAGTGATAACAAATTAATATAAAAATCACTTTCATTTGCAGTAAAGTGATTTTCTACATTCATTTTATTACTGTCAGGAAGGAAACTCTTGAGAGAGGCATCATACATGTTTTCTTCAGTAAACTCCGTCCTAACTGCTTCAGAACATCTTACCCACAAACCTCTCTGACTGGTCGTCTGCGTCTGACATTCACTCCCGCCTCGCGCTGCGATTGGCCAGCTGTGCAGGGACGAGAAAGTTCTCTCCCTCACTCTCTTTTGTTACACAACTATTTTTAGTTTTCAAGTGCGACAGTATTAATGTCGTTATCCACACATCGCATCTCCTCCCGACGTAAACAAATGTGCGCAGTAACTGTAGCTTACGAGCTTTTTGTTAGCGGTAGCTTTAAGGATCACGCCATGTAGCATGTAGCTAACAGATATGCTAACACTTATTCAAAGTGCTACAGCTAATTGGCTAAGTAACTCACTTATACTTCCTGATAAGGAGCCGACACAAGCTAGAAAGCTAACGTGAGCTGAGCGGTTGTTTTTATGTCTCAGGCTGTAATTAGCTGTTAGCTGTAGAAACACGGTACACAGACACAATAACTTACCCCCTGCTAGTAGCAGCTAACTGGCTAATTCAGACTTTACAGCGTTTTGATTCTAAAGATGTTTGATGATTGTTAATATTATTTATCCACAATGTCTTATACATATATTTAATACTGACCGTTGTGCCGTGCTGCAGAACATACTGGATGAATTACACTGATACTACAGGGATAAAACAGCCTTTGCTTTCATCTCCAGCTACTTTACAAAAAATTTCAAATTGTTTCTCGTCACATTTTTAAGAAAAAAGATAAATGAAAATCTTCACATTTATTTTCCAGGGCGGCCGAGTGTGAACATGAAAAAAGAAGGTTCTTTTATTCAGGGATTTTTCTTACCATAAAACACATCAGCAAAACATCCTGTGCCCAGCTTTACTTCCAACTCAAGTGCGTCTCTGCTGATCTCCCAGGCATCATGACTCAAACCCACAGTGTCAGGGATGTAGTTCACACACACGCCCGTTAAATTAAAGCACAAACCATCCGCACTCTCTACAGGGGGAGGGAAGGGAAGGCACACAGTGTTAACTACAGGGGAGAGGAACATGCAGTGAGGCACATGGAAGGAAGCCATCTTTAGACTGTGGGAGCAGAGTCTCCTGACACACTGGATGTTTTTCCACTTGATTTTGGGAGGACGGGGTCAGAAACCAGAAGTTTTCCTCTGGCAAATCCTCAAAATGAGAACGATCAAAATTTCCTGCCCCGTTTCATTTGCTCCCCTCCTCCCGGGCCAGATTATTCGCTTGTGTTATTGTTGTATTATCATAGTGATTTGGAGTCAGTCTGGTGTCTCTGCTGGTTCAGCGTGGCTCTTTCCTTGTGACCTCGTCTTTGGAGGCGACCGGATCCGTACCCATCCAGACCTCCCCAAACTGCCCGTTCCCAAGACGCTTGATTAGCTGCAGCGACTCCCGTGGGATCTCCCACACGTCTTTGGTTTTGACGGACAGGTCGGCGAGGCGGGGCATCCCTTTGTGGCAGGGAACCACCAAGCGACAGCAGAGCCCAGCGGCTCGGTCTGCACACGCCACGCAGCGACGCACAAATAAGAGCATAGAGAGAGAGGTACAGAGTTAGCATAGCATCCAGCAGGGGACAGAGGAGAGGCTCGCAGCAGCAGCAGCAGCAGCACAACAGCTGGAAACAACAGTGAAGTAAAGCGAAGTCAGAAAACACGAAAAGCCAGAAATCACTTCCTTTCCTTCTGCTTCCTGGACGGCGCACAGGCCGAACCACCGGCAGAACGTCTTCTGTGACAACAACCCTGATGATGTCATCGGGCGGGGTCGGAGACTACAAACTGGGTGTGTGAATTTTGAAAACACAACGCTTGAGTTGCATCATGGGTGAAAGCTGTTTTCCTGAAGATAAACGCCGAGCCGAGGCCAGGCGGCTTCTTAATAACACTTATTCTATTCTGACGGCATTTCAGGAATCCTGAAAGACTCGTCTAAACATCAAGTCTATTTCCTGAACATGGTGATTAGATATTTATGATTAATAATTCCTCTGTTCATTTATGTTCAATTATCAGTGTTTTTTTTTTTTTGAGTTCAATGAAGCTTTGCAGTCACAGGCTGGCGTTGTTGATTATAAATATCCGCCTTACGCTTTATTAATTATTCATAATAACTTATTTTAGGCTCAAGCGTCTCCCGTTTGTTGCCGTGCCGTGGTGGCGTCTTGCTGAATGAATAAACAGCCAGTGTAGGAGCAGGTCGTAGTAAAAGTATAGGCCCTATGTTATGGCTCACTTTAGCTAATGGCATCTACGACTCGCGTACACTTTACGATAATGACGGTACTAAAGAAAGAGCGGGGACTTCCTGCGCCATGAGAAGCATTAGCAGCCATGCTTGTTCAGGTGTGCTGCTCCAGCTGCCCTCACGTCGATCCTCTCTTCCTCCGTGCGTTCGCTTGTTTTTAACCGACGACACCGTGTCGTGAAATCAGTGTTTACTCTTGAGGAAGACCTGCTGTTTGCCAGCCATTGATTAAACCGCTGAATTAGGGGAGAGTTTCCGTCGATACTTCCGCGCTGATATCTCCACGACCTGATACCTGGTGGTGGGGGTGGGATAGGGTGTGTGTGTGTGTGTGTATATGTGTGTGTGTGTGGGGGAGGTGTTTGCCCCAGGGTGTTTGCATGGGGCAGTAAAGACGAGATAAAGGCCCGTGTTCAACCTTCAACTCGGCCATTAAAGCCCATCTGTCCTGCCTGCTGCTTCGTCTGCTCCACTCAGACATCAATACAGCTCCACGACGGCTCCGCCGGCGTCACCGTGTGGAGGTTAAAAAAAGACAGGCACCGATCCAACCTGAGGACAATGAACCAATGAGCTGAAAGCTACGCACCTACAGCACAGATTCTCACCGGGGCCGTCTCATGTTCCCGCCAACAAAAACTTCTGCTGCTAAACAATATGAACGCCTTAAAGTTACTGAGCGGTCCCTCCAGAAATGTCGAAATGTCCCAATTAATTAACGAGGATTGAACGAACCCCCGTGAACTCTGAGCGACCTCGCATTTTTGTCTAATCACTGCAACTTTTCAGGAATTTAATTTTGATTTAGACGTAATTACGAGATGAATGACTCATTAAGTCAAAATCATTAGATACTGTGTCAAAGTAAAAAAAGATATTAAGTAAAAATTTTTTATTATATTATATTATAATTATTATTATTATATTATATTTGTTCTAGTGCAGTGTTTCCCAACCACCAGGGGACACAAAGGTATCAGTGTAATTCTAGTGAAAAAATAAAATTATATAAATATATATATGTATAAATAATGTTTTTAAATGTTTTAAATTGAAATGATCTTTAAAAACATTAAAATATAATTTTTTTTTAGGTCAATCACAGTTATAATCCTCTGTAGAGACGGTGGAGTTTTCCCTGCTTTCTCTTCAGTCCTGAATGTTTTCTCGTTATCATTAAATATCAGTAAATACAAATTAAAACTGCTCTGAGAACGTTTTATCTGTTGGGATGGAAAAGGTTGGGAAACTCTGTTGTCGTGGAAACGGCGTCTGAGCAGAAGAAGATTCATGAAAGTTACAGAGAAATATCCGTGTTGTTTGCTAACATTAGCCAGCATTAGCTTCTGAACACAGAGGCCTGTAGGTGTGTTGCTGTGCTTCGTTAGCAAGAGGAATAATGCACCGTGTGTTCTTTTCTGCTTCTATAGCTTCACTTTAAATGTGTTGTCATTCAAATCCTCAAGGCCGAGCGTGTTCTTGTTTTTCCGTCTCTCTTCAGCTTCGTCTGAATAAATATTGCACCGAATGTGACGTGGCTCTTTAAAGACGATGAGACGCAGAAGAAAGCAGAGAAGCCATGAAAGCACCAGCCCTGAAAAGAAGTCGAGGTTATTTGGCAGAGGTGTGTCGCTGCCTCCGTATGTCGTCTGGAGCTGAGTGAGAAAACTGTGAGAGGGACGTTTCATGTTCCATGACACAGACGTACAGAAAATCCATGGTGTTGATTTTAGGGCTTAAACATCGAAATGTCAATGTGCCAATTGGAGCATGACAGGAATAATATCCTTTTCACAGAGAGAGGGAGACTGAGGATGAGAGTGATAAAACAGAACACGTGTGAGAGAACAAAGAACACAGATAAACACAAAAGAAGACAGAAAACAACTGAATACTTCAGTAAAACGAAATCATCCTGTGAATGTGATCAGAGAAGGTGTGTGTCAGCAGCACAGACGCAGGAGGAACGGGGTGAAAACTCAGATCCCGGATGAGCTCACAGTGACGTAAACTCAAACTCTGACACACTAAAAACTCCCCGTCTCCCTCTGTGTAACAAACAGCTGCATTAAAAAAAAACAACTGCGAAACCTAAATGACTAAACAGGTTGCGGCGCAGTAGCTTTCTTTTTTCTTTCTGGTAGCGTCTCGTGCTCAGTGCCGCCTTTTATTCCTCTATGTGAAAATGTGCCGCCAGACAAAATGCAATTACACAGTGTAACAGTGTGTGCGTAATGCGTCCCGGATCAATCAGACAGAAGAGGGGGACTTTAACGTTGTGCAAATGAGGCAACAGTGTTGATGCTCTGTCTCCACCATAACAAATCTCTCTATGGCAACATCTGTCTGTTTCCCTCTCTAACGGAGAGTGGGCCTCCACGACGTCCTCCTCTGTGCACTTTCAGTGAGGGGCATGTTGCAGCCAGACCATTGAGAGGAAGCCTCGCTGGTTTTCAGGTTAGTTAAAAACACCAGATTATTTCACCGCTGAAGGCTTTAACCTGCACGAGTCAATAGAGCTTCACAGCGAGATACAGAAATTTAAAGTGAAAATAAAAAAGTGATGTCTAAGACAAAGTATTAGGGCCACACTGAGGAAGAAAAATCAGATGTGTTGAGAATAAAGTTGTAATTTTAAGATCAACCAATAAAAACAGGTGAAAGGTCAGTCAGTGGCAGCTGCTGTTTGTCCGTCTAACATTAGAATAGACTCAGTTTCTTCACAATCTTTTCAATGTCCTGATGATGATGATGATGATGATGATTATGAACCAAAAGATGAAGTTTCTCCTTATTTGTGAAAGCTCATTTTAAAGCTTCTATTTCCCTTCTAGAAAAAAAAATGCAAAATTAAAAAATTAAACCTTTATTCTCATTTTATTAGGACTTTTTTTCTCGTAAAATTACATTGACTTTTTTTCTTGTAAAATTTAATTTTTACTTTTTTTTGTAAAATTTTCTTATGATTTTTTTTGTAAAATTATGACTTTTAAAAAAATTTTCTTATGACTTTTTTTCTTGTAAAATTTAATTTTTACTTTAAAAAAAAAAAAAAAATTCTTATGACTAAAAAAAAAAACTTTTTTCTTGTAAAATTTTAAAATCTTAAAAATGTCATTATGACTTTTTTCTTATAAAATTATATTATGAATTTTTTTTTGTAAAATTACAATTAATTATTCTTGAAATTTCTAGTTTATTTTTTCCCTCAACGTGGCCCTTATACTCTCGCAGGTGTCGCCTAATGGTGATGAAAACCTTTTATCGTTCAAGCTCATTCAGGTGTGACGCTGCCTAATGCAGCTTTAAGTCCGGTCTATATTTACATGCTCTTTATTCCTGAGTTCGCTGGTGTCTTCCTCTGTGCAGAATATGTCTTAAAATAAAGATGAAGATGAAACTGGAGCTGTCGTGAAACGAACATCGTGAACGTGAGCGAACAGTTTTTCGTACCTGAGTAGTGCTGGACGAGCTGCTGCAACGTGTCGAACTGAGCTCTGGTGGTGATGTAGTAGCCGCCGCTGTCGAGCTTGCGGATCTTATAATGTTTGACGTGGTCGCCTTTCACGTCGTCCCAGTCTCGTATGGACAAGGAGAAGGCACCTGTGGGACACAGACCAGGGGGTGAGGGTGACGCCCTGCGGATGTATCCCTCCGCCAAACCAGCGAGGTCACAGTTTACATCCACGTCCGTCCAGACTCATGTAAAATATACAGTGGAGGAATTATTTTGTCATAATTAGTGTCTGAATGCTTCAGCTGTGGCCAAGAATGTGTTTTGTATGATAACGGTGACCTTTGACCTCTGACAACCGCAATCATAATGACAAAACATAATGTCTCCGGCCGCGGCTGTCGCTGTCGTGGAGGAATAATAAAAGTTTCATTTAGATTTAAATCAGGAAATATTTCATCAAATAATGAGTAAACAAAACTTAATGTTCACTTTTCTGCGACTGACACTTCTCAGTATTCGTCGCTATGGAAACAACTCATGAGCGGTGGATGGTGTGAGTTTGGGTCCGGTGTTTTTTACCCTTTGTGGTTTCGCTCTCCCGGATGAGATAGGTCCCTCGTGGGTTGCCGGTGGACAGCAGCTGCCTCTCCGCATCTTTACGGCCCAGTTTACCGAAGTACCAGCTGCAATCACGGGACAGAACATGTTCACTCCAACAGTCCAACAGTCCAACACTCCAACAGTGGATTCAGAGGAGACCACTTCTGCTCTGGCTCCAGAGGAACATCGTTAATCTCTTTGAGTGTTATTGGAGGCTTTTCTCGTTTTATCTCAGTCAGTGTAACTGTGTGTGTTTTTTAATGAACATACATGTATACAGGAATAAGTCTTTTCATGTCTCTGAGCTGCAGGTGACCCTCTGATTTCATCACTACAATCTGCATCAGGTGCAAAATTACTGCACGACAAGAAATACAAAAAAGTAATTTATTAAAATTCAGGGTTGAAACTAAACAGTCTCCAAACCTGGAAAAACTCTTATTCAGAGCAGAGGCAGAGGAGGAAACTCCATCGATACTTATTTGTTTTCTCGTGACACCGGTCAACACTGAGGGAGAAGTAATTTACTCCTTCTTTTCCACCCATCACATGTCGATGTATATCAATACAGTGAAGTCCCACCTCTGTCCCACAGCTGCTCTGACATTTCAAACTCTAAATCCATGGAAGGAGAAACGTAGAAATAGTATTAACTCTCTGCACATGTGTCGGGCTGCGGCCCTGCGTCCACTAATCTCAAGCTATTTTAGAGCACCTCCCACATGAGAGTCACCAGTCCTGGACCAGTGTACCGTGGCTCTCTGAGGAGCATTCACACACACACACACACACTCACACACACACACACACACACACACACACACACACACACACACACACACACTCACACTCACACACACACAACTTACTCCTCAGCCTGGATGGAGTCCACTGGAGCCACGTAATTACTGGGAATGTAGCCGCTGCCTCCAGTGGTGAGCGAGCGAGCGTCCCACCAGTCCCCTTCACTGAGAGAGAGAGAGAGAGAGAGAGAGAGAGAGAGAGAGAGAGAGAGAGAGAGAGAGAGAGAGAGAGAAGACAAGAAGAGAAGAAACACATTATTACACTTCATGTACGAGCTGACGTCCTCTCTTGTCCTTCTTCTTCAGTTGGACCTGATCACACGTCGGAACAAGTGAGTGTGTAAAGAATAAAGCAGAGAGTTACGTGGCAGCCACACACACACACACACACACACACACACACACACTGAAGTCCACAAAGACATGTACACACTGTCCTACTCTTATATTGCACAATATCTTTATGACTCCACAGACTTTGATGAACCCGTCTGAAGCATCAAAACAATCGATCCACAACAGCGAAGGTTTGTTTTCACGAAACATCTGAAGAGCTGAGCTGAGATCTGAAAACTGTCACGTGAATATTAGAAATAATGGAGAAATGGAAAAAAATGCCGTCAGACCTCAGAGGGTTAATAAACGCTATAGTTTCACGCCTGCATGAAACTGCAGCAGGAAGTTGTGCTGTGCAGCTGCTGCTGTAGAAGTCAGATTAGATAATAAGATAAAGATTCTGTTATAGAAACATCTATAACAACCCTCTGTAGCCGTCCCTCCGCCCCCCTCCCTCTCCTGGTTTTTGTCCGATCATATTTTAATACACAAGTTCAGCTATAAAGTTTTCCTCCTGTTACTTCCGTCCTTGTTGATGGTGAGATGAGCGTGAGTGTGGAGAGCTGGAGGATGTTGTTATTTTAATACGCGAAGAAGACAAAGACGAAAGCTTCGAGTTTCAGCTGTTTCCCCTGCTCCTGGTGTTTCTGCTCAGCTGAGCCAACGACATCCCGACCCCAGCTCCACGCTCAGAGGACAGACGTCAGGTCTCTCTCTCTCTCTCTCTCTTTCTCAAACGTGGAATCCTGCAGGAACTGATTTTAAAATGTTAAAATTTAAGGGAATGTAATGTTGTTCGTTGTTTTAGTTACTGGCGGACCGTCTGTTTCCGCTGCCTCCGATCTCTGTGCTAAGCTAAACTGGCCGCAGGTGAGAACTTAACGCGCAGACACGAGATTCATCAGGAAGGAAACATATGCAAGTGTTTAACGAAGAAAAGGTAAAGCTCAACTGCTCCTGCTGCGACAGCAGCGGCTCGGTCTTCATCCTCTGCAGTCAGCTGCTTGCGAGTGACGTTGGCGACACATGAATCGGGATTTTAGCCGCCGCTTCGAAATGTGTTGAGAGTGGAAAGAGGAGGAGGGAGGAGAGGCTCCTTAAAGACCTCTCAGCCCCACGCAGCCGCTTCTCTCTTCCTCACTGACCACCAGCTCTGACACATCTGTCCCTCGCCGCGGCCTCAAGACTCTTTCACCCGTCCACTCCCTCAGCTGCTCGTCCTCCATCTTTCTCCCTTCCTCGCGTTTCACATTTCCCTCTTTCTTTAAGCCTTAAAATCCCACACTTCCTCCCTTATTCCGATATCTTCGTTTTTTTTAAAAGTCAGAAAAACTGTGAAATGCATTAAATTCCTTCGTTACTTGCCACAGTTTTGATAAGTCTTGAGTGACCGCTGAAACGCCGGCGTCTGACCGCGGCGTGCAGCTCACAGGAGAAATCAATCGCAGAGCACTTTCACCCTAATGTGTTATTTGGAGTTTAACTCGCTCCTGTCAATAACCGCCTGAGCTCAAAAGGTTATGATGCCACCTAGAGATATTTTTCGACACAGATACAGCGAACAGATTAAAAGGGGGGAAACAGTCTCAGTATGGACGGTTGTCCTTCGCTCAGCGTCCAACAATCGTACAGGAAGACCATGATGCACTGCAGCGTAAAGGTCTGCTGATGCCACTGAAGCATTTGACTGGAACAGCTTCTGCTCTTCACCTTCACCACTGCCTTTAATGCCCTTAAAGAACCATGTGAAAGTATTCATCCACAGCTGAAAATAGTCCCAAACAAATACACTATTTCTTCCTGTTTGAATAATATCTGCTAAAAAAGAAACTACAGCCTCTATCTGTTCATGTCCCTCCTTCACTCCTCCTCTCTCTTCTTCACACATATCAATATCCAGCTGCCTTTAAGGACAGCAGTGGTTTACCGTCTGTCGTTACCAATACTCGCACATGAACGCACAATCACACGTGTACGTGTCTCAGCTTTGACAGCGTCTCAGTGCCACCCTGCGCCGCTCTCTGTCACATCCTCCACACGCCAGTAGGGGAATGGCTCTGGGTGTGTGTGTTTGTATAGAGGGGGGGTGGGGGTGGGGTGTTGTTGTTGGTCCTTCATTTCAGCTGAATAGAGCCATGATAGGGAATCGCCTGGGGACGACATCCCAGGCAGAAACAGGCCTGCTTCCCTTTGTTCAGAGAGGATCCCTCAGGAGAGGAGGGAGGGCTCCACAGTCTGTCTTCTGAGGGAGGAAAGTATGTGTGAGAGAGAGAGAGAAAGAGAGAGAGAGAGAGAGAGAGAGAGAGAGAGAGAGAGGGGATGTGTTTGTGTCGGTATGTGAAGCCGGAGAGACACCGACAGACGGGGTGGGGTGGGTCCCCAGTCTGTCCCGCAGCCTCTTTTGTCTCCAGAAACAAACCCCCTTAAACCAACTGCGCTCCGCCACAAAAAGACAGAAAACAACAAGAGTAAACAAAGACCCTCCCTCCTGTCTGAGAACGGATTCAAATCCTCTCTCGCTCTCTCTCTGTGTGCACGTGGTGACTGCTGATGAGAGGATAATCAAACACAGGGCTGCGCTGACTGAGAGGAGTCACACGGCACAGCTCCATTCACAACACCACAGCGGTTTACTCGCAGCCTGCAGGCAGTTCAACCGGAGCAACACTGGTTTCATTCACTTACAGCGCAGACTTGAGAACAGGAGCTACTTCCTGGTTATGTCTGAAGACGCCACAGACACACTGACACACTCGCGGCGGGTCGTAACCAGCCTGAGCTCAATGCAGCACCTGATAAACATTGATGGTGGATGGAGGATGCCATCGCAAAATAAAAAAAAGGGACAACATTGCCATCTGTCAGCTGTGGGGGGGGGGGGCTGGGATCTCTGCTTCACATGAGCCCCGCCTGTTTGGGCATCTGTCACTCACTTCCTGCCAGCTCTGACAGGCCGGCGCGGCAGTCGGAGGATTTTTGAGGAGGATTTTTTTTCCCGACGTTGTCCAGCAGGGGTCAGTCTAAAGAAGCTCCAGTCTGAGGCAGAGGAGGCGTGGGCAGACAGAGGGAGGTGGGGAGAAGATGCAGGGAGGAAGAGGTGGAGGGAGTCTGAGCTCTAATGGGGTGGGGGAGGGGGTTGGTGGTGGCGTGGTGTGGTGGCCTAGGTGTGCGGTGGAATGTGCAAGACGCCGGCTGGGACAGGATGCTAACTGGGTGTGGAGAGGAGGAAGACTGACCTCGCTGGGCCAAAGGCTGAGGCGATAAGGCAGCCGTGTACAGTAGAGAGATTTTACAATTCATCATGGGGAGGGGGGGGGGGGGGAAAAATGCTTTAAAATCTTTCTTTCAGTGTCTGATTTGACTGTGTGAGCTTCTGTTTCACAGCAGCAAAGAATTGATTTCCAGGAAAACTGCTGTTTTATCTGGATGTGAACCTATAAAGTTTCGATCCAGCACTTTAGGCCGCATCACACAGACGCTGGTATCAGTATCGGAGCAACGCTAATAATAGGGCTGCCATAAAACATTATCTCATTCTGCTGGCTGTGTGTTCGTCTGTTTGCACAGAAATCAGAGACGACTCGGCGGAGTGACAGCTGACCTGCTGCGCCTCTGCGGCGCACACGCCGAGCCGCCTCATTACAATCAGCATCTAAAGGAGAACCACGGTCGCTGCAGTCTCCCCGCCTCCTCAGATATCTGTGCACCGCCGCAGAAACCTAAACAAGCGGACGGGCAGCCCAGCTTTCACTCCGGCACCATGACACACCGACAGAAAATGAAAACCATCCACAAGCTCAGGCTATGAGCTGGCAGATGATCCTGACTCTCCTCCCATCCACCCACACACACACACACACACACCAAGTACATACTGGTTGTCTGGAAGAAAAAGGCGAGCTAACATCACTGTGGGTGTAACAAGGCACTTCCTGTCCAAGCCCAGAGGGAAGTCTTGAAGGGAAGGCCACACTCATCACTGCTGGCTGGTGCCGCGGCTCCACCCTCCATAAACCTTACATAAACTGTGTTCCACTGATTGTCATGTTGCATGTTCAAACCACCACTTTCACCTCATTTCAAAATGTGTTGCAGCCTTTAATACTGCGCCCTGTTGCTTCACGGCTCCACAGGGTGAGGAGCAGCTGACTTATCGGGCTCCACATTATGAAAAACCAAAACGTTTCCGTGCACAAGCTGCAGCGTCTCCGTTAACACGGCGACGAAAGGAGGGAAAGTTGCACTCAGTGCGATAAGTGCGGCCGCGGTGACTCACGTGCTGTTGATGATCTGGAACCTCTCTCCTTTCCTGAAGCTGAGGTCGTCCTCTGTCCGCGCCTCGTAGTCGTAAAGTGCCACGAAGAGGGTGACTCCTGCGGGAGCGATAAAAAACTCAGCGTCAGCAGGTTAGTGAATGAAGATGAAGATGAAGCTCAGACTCACACACTGGACGGACAGAGCGCCGGAAGCTCGGATCAAATAAGAACCAGTCTCTGGTTCAACTGCAAGTTGCTTGTGTTGAATTTAATGAGAACTCATCGAACGTCACAGTCGATGACTCTTGACCAGACACCGTCGGTATTTCCTCCCCTGCAATGAAACTGTGGCGCTCTAAATTCATATCTGATCTTACTTCTACATTTATATATTTGACATTAACATTCTGAGCAACAATTCATAAGAAAACCAAATAAAAACCATAAACCTCAACCTCAAAGATGTGTGTGTGTGTGTGTGTGTGTGTGTGTGTGTGTGTGAGTATATTTATGGGAATATGTGGGAAGTGTGTTTTGTATATGATGAGAAATCTATCTAAAATCTTATTTAAAAAAACAAACCAGTCCTTCATGGTCCCCAGAGGATCAAACACAATCATTTTTGTGACTTCTGATCTGTTGCTACCAGACGGACAAATTATTATTCATCCGGTGAAATTTTAAAAACATCTACTTGGTGGATTTGCAGATTGGAGTCAGGACAGGACGGATCCTGAGGTTTTGTTGGACGCCACAGAGGCCGCCCTTCTAAACACCTGCAAAACTCTGTGTTTAACACCAATAAGCATGAAGCTAACATGCTAAACCAAGATGATAAACATGGTGTCACATGACTCATCGCAAACAGACAGCAAAGACAGGAAAATGGCGAAGAACTCTTGGGGAAAAGGTCACGGAGGCGACGCAGGGTGATCCTTCAGAACAGACATAAACACTTCTGGTCAGATGACATGTCGCACAAACCAGCTACTAATCCCCTTCGTCTTGCAGTATTTATATTTATCCACTGTGAAGCATCACTACAACACAACTTTGTCTGAGGTCGAATCTGCTTCATGATGGCAGAACAACATTTACAGAAATAAAACTCTTTAACCTGAAGTCACTGGCTCTTATCCTCCTCCTCCTCCTCTTCCTCCTGCATCTTCACTAATCCTCCTAATTTTACTGTCATCACTGAAGTAAAAAAAGAACAGTGGCTTTTCATTTTAATACCCCCCCCGGTAGCTCTTCCCTCTCTCACATGAATACCGCCTCAGCCTCAGACTCCTGCTCACTGCTCGCCGCTTGTGGCACGAGTGATAAAGCAGTTTAGGCTAATTGTGGGAGGTGTGAACAGAGAGAACGGCGGCGGCGGCGGCGGCGGCGGCGGCGGGGGTTTGTTAACAGTACAAATGAAAGGTGTGAAGGAGAGAAAAACTCAAGACTGTTAAAACATTAATATAACAACACAGTCGATAATATGAAGGTATGATAACAGAGGGAGGGAAATACTGGGAACACACACTCTGGATTTTAAAACCACTTCAGTTAAATTAAGACAAAATGTAAAACTACATTGTGAAAAGACGGACTTTTAATTGGGGGGTTGGGGGGTGGGGTGGGGTGGGGGGGGTTATACAGCAGTTTGACAATTAAATCTGTAATTGAATTGACTGTGTAACCACTGTCAACACTCGCTGTGTGTTTCTCCTGATAAGTGCATCAGCTAAATCCCTGTAACACAGTTTCAGTGGCTTTAGAAAAGTGCAGTGTTTCTGCTCGCCCGAAGCAAATCCACCACCTGAACTGCATGAACCGACAGTAATGTGGAGCCTCCCTCGCAGGGCAGCCAGCGCCCGTCACTGTCCACTAACCGAAGCTGGGATTTCTGGGCTCCCTCGCTCCGGTTTGACTCCACTCCAGACGAAAAAACCAGCGGCCTGAAAAAACCTTTTTCTCAGACATTATCTCACCGACATCTCTGCAGAGCAACACGACCGGGGGGGGAACCGCGGTGGCTGGGATAGAGGAGTATTTGTTTTCTATAAGTTTATACTGCCAAGTGTTTTTACTTCACACAGTTTCATTAAAGCTGATGTCCACAGCTTCCCTCATGCTGTAGGCGTCTGTGGTGAGGAGAGAAAACTGCAGAGATTTTCACACTATGAACAAATACACTCGTACTGACTGAAACTGAGTCTGACGACGAGTCTAGACTCAAACGGCCAAGTCGCCTTTGACTTAGCCGTTCCGGATACGGAGAATATGCACTTCCTGTAAACTGGCACCGTCCTCTTAACATGATAAACATGTTTATCTGGATCAATAACGAGAGCTCGTTAGGTTGTGACGTTTTTAGAGGGCAGCAACTGAATAAATTAATGGTGCCGAAAAGGGACCAAAGCTAATCAGTTACATTACTTTGATCAAGTAATTAAAAGAGCTATTTGTAAGCATTGCTATTGCTACATAGCTAACGTTAGCATTAGCAGCCGTTTACTTACCAGTCCTGCCATTAACGTGTTTACAATACAGGAGGTTATAACACGTCCTCTGAGCAGCGCTACTCTTTCAGGGCGCTACTCGTGTATTTGAAAGTGACAGGCTGAAGCTAACTAGTTAGCACGCTAACAAGAGTGAACATTGGCGTCACTTTCCACCTCTGGAGACAGCTGTTGACGAGTAAAAGAATAAAGTTTGATGCCGAACTCACAACGTTTTCCTCTGGACTGGTCAGTAAACGGCTGCTAATGCTATGCTAACGTTAGCTATGTAGCAATTGCTAAACTTACAAACTGCTCACAATACTGATTTTTAACAGACTAATTAGAAATCTGTTCCAACGCACAATATTGTAATGACCAACAGGAAAGATTAAAGAATGAAAATAAGACTCAAACTGTAATAAACTGGAGCTCCGTCTGTCTCACTGTCTCGCTTGATTTTTCTCGCCTCGGAACAAAAGAACACGAGCGCGGAGACGAGAGCGGCGCTCAGACAACAGCAGGTCCGAGGTGACCGCGGCTGTCGAGCTGTTTCATGCCTCTGAGTGTTTGACAAATGGAAGTTGAATGGGCACTTCTTCAAAGTCCACTTAAACTCTCTTGATTGCATTTTATTCAAGTCATTTCACTTCAGACGCTCTCAGCAGCGAGGCTTTCTGGGAAATGTTGATATGAAGAGGGTATTTGAGGCTGTGGCTGATGGGACTGTAGATAGAAAGGACCTTCTGCTGTTCATGTGATAACAAACAAGCGAAGGGGGGAGCAGACAGAGAGAGTTTCACTTTGGCTTTCTAACCTTCACAGCAGTAACAAGACCCTGAACGCACCACAGCTGTGGTTTGCAGCGTTCAGATGTTCCATTCGGGTCAGCAAAGGTGGGCGCGAGGTAGAAACCGGTTTGTTGATTCACTCTGAAACCGCCTTCGGGGATCTCACTCAATTACTTACATAAGGTCACAGGGGTGGCTGTGAATTTCCATTTGGGAAAATGACATCAGCAAAAAAGATCAACTGATAATCAATGAGATGTGTGTGACTGCGGAGCGGTGACTGTGGCAGTTAGGCAGCTGTGTTGTAACAGAGGTTGAGAGGAGAGGGTGGCTTATGTCCAAATGTCCCCAATGGTAGAAAATTAAAAAGCTAAACCCCTCTCTCTCTCTCTCTCTCTCTCTCTCCTCCCTCTGCTGCCGTGTGGATTTGGATTATGCGGTGCAGAAAATAATCCACACTCTGAGGCAGAGGACTCCTGCTAAGTTGAGTGGAAATGCTGAGTTCCTCTGCACAGCAGCCTGAGCTCAGTCAGACATAAAGGATATCCTGAGTAGGAATATTCCCTACCTAAACAATGAGCCCGCCGCACAAAGCCCCGCGCTAATGCCAGCCGGACGTTCCCGAAGGGCCGGGGGGGGGGGGGGGGGGGGGGGGGGGGGGGGCTGTGAGGCGAGGACTGTCAGGATTTCGGGATGCCATGGGAAGTCTTTAACAGCTCGAACAATGTTTGTGCTTTTGCATACGGAGGTGTTTGTGTGTGTGTTTGTGTGTGTGTGTAGGCTGCTGCGAGCCAGTGAACACAACACAGTGTGTGTGTGTGTGTGTGTGTGTGAATGAACAGAACAGACGTGACCTTTAAACTTTATCCGTCTCTCTTCCGTCAAACGACTGAGGCTCATTTCTCCGAGAAGCACCCATCACATTATTTCCTCTCTTGATGTCACTTCTCCTTTGTACAATAACTTCCGTCTCTCGTTTACTTCACATGTGAAGAATCTTTTAAAATCAGGGTCGTTTCACTGAGAGAGACGCTCTGCTCAGTCGTGTACAGGACAGTACAGCCCCACTGCAGGTGCAGGGCGATCATCTTTCAATAGCAGTGGCACATACACTTACATATTTCTATCTTCTATTCATATGTCACAGTATAAGGACGTATTTTTACATTTTATGTTTATATTTCATCTTTATCTTTTTATCTTTATAATCTCATTCTCTGTTCTTTGCTGTTGCATCTCCATCCTTTGAGATCAATAAAATATTCTGACTCTGATGAACGTGAGATGATCGACACTGATGTTACCATAGAGTTCAATGATGAATTAAATTAAAAATGAGCGATTGGAATAAAAACAGTAACGATGTGTTGAAGGGAGAATCTCTATTAACTAAGAATAACCTTGATTGTATGAGACTCATTATCATTCACCATGACAGTGAAAACTGAGAGGATCATGTTTCATATTTCATATCTGTGAACATCACGTCTCTTACCCGTCCCGCCACGAGTCCTCAGAGTTCCAGTGTGAGAGGAAGTGCTGACTCCCCCGAAGACGGTCATCCCCTGTCCGACGGGGGCGTGGAAGTTGTTGTAGTTGGGGATGGCGGTGACCCCGAAATTGGGGTAGTGCTGCGGCGTGGGGTCGGCCCCATAGCGGTATCCGGCTCCCTGGGAGATGCTGGTATCTCGGTCGTCTGTGAGTTTGGTTGCTTCCTTATCCTTGCATTGCACACAGCCCATTATCTATAATCTGAGAGAAGAGAAAGAAAAAACAGGCGGTTGGTTTGGATGAAACTGGACTTGTGAGATAAATCATGGTGACGAAGTGTTTCGAAAAATCACATTAAATTACTAGAATCAACTCCTCGTGGTCGTATCCCTCCGCCACTCAGACTGGTTTCAGGTTACACCCCTGTTTATCCAGTCAGATAAAATATGAACCATTTGTGTGAAATTTTGTAAAGTCACCGTGACCTTTGACCTTTGACCACCAAAGTGTAATCTGTTCATCCTCCAACGTCCAAGTGAACGTTTGCGCCAAATTTGAAGAGATTTTCTTGAGGAGTTCTGGAGATGTTGCATTCACAAAGCCAAAATCATGTTTTGTGAGGTCACAGTGACCTTAACCTTTGACCTGTAGCCACCGGAATCTAATCAGTTCATCCTTTGGTGCAGGACAATGTTTTTCCAAAACTCCAAATTTGGAGAAAGTCCTTCGAGGCGTTACAGAGAAATCACATTCCTAAGGCCAAAAACGCATTTTATGAGGTCACGTGACCTTGACCTTTGACCATCAAAATGTAATCAGTTCATCCTTGAGTCCTAGTGAACGTTTGTGCCAAATCTGAAGAAGCTCCGTCGAGGTGTTACGCAGCAACAAGAAATAAAAACACACACAGGCCTGCAGCGCCTGAACGCAAACAGTGATTTGAACTCGGCGACTATCGGCTCGACCGGGGGATCGATGAGACGAAACGCGGCGTCTGGAAGAAGAACGAGCGCTCGCCTGCACAGCTCGCCGAGCGGAAGTGAACTCATCATCTCTGTTTGAGGTTTCCACTTCACACTGCTCTCTCCACAGACGACGCTCTTCCACTGATTAGCACTCTGGTCTGGGAGGCAGGGACCTTTTTCTTTTATAGCCTGACACGCAGCTCGGTCTCTGGATGACTCATACAAACAGTGTGGTGGCTCTTTCACGGTCAGGAGGAATAACGGCTCCTATCACGCTGATGGCGGGGGGGTGTGGAGGCGCCGCGCTGCCGTGTTGATCTTAATGGAGAGTGGTGGGAGGACGACTGGACGCCGGTGTTACGGTGGAAGTCGACCTGAGCTGCCAGAGGTGAGACTCTTCACCTGCCCTCCCCATGTTGGATGTTATCAAAGCATTCAGCTCTGGTCTTTCACCCTGCGGCCCGCACTTCCACCATTTCACATCATTGTCCTTATGTAAAAAGTTACACTCCTGCATGTTGGTAAACTGAAACTTAAGAGGTTGAAGATAAGTTTAGTTACGACACAACCCTAACTTTCTCCAAACCAAACAATGAACACCTTTTATTTTAAAGCTCCTCCAGTGTAAAGGTCTGTGTCCATGTGTAGTGTGATTATAGATCAGCTCTAGCTTCTATATTAATACTGTGAAAGTATCAAAGCCTCAGTCCACAGAGAAATGCACACAGCCTGTATTCAGAAACTGAGCCTTAAAACCAGCCGTCAGGACTTCTGGAACTTTGTGATGTCACAACAAAGCAGTCACCAAGCCCCGCCCACCTGGACCCACCATCCAAACCTTGCAGGATTTGGTTTCTCTGAGTGTTTTTACCTGAAATCTTCAACATTTTTTTATTAGATCACTCAGAAAACAGTCAGCCAATCAGAAGAGAGGCTCAGAGCCTGCTTTGCTGATTTGCACTTAAATCTGAACTCGTGTTGAGTTTGACTAAAATGGATTTGATGTGCTAACATCAGAACCACTGTTTAATCTAAACAGCCTCGATTTCACAGAAACAGACAACTCTGTTTGTCATTTATCATCATGTTTACACTGGGACGAGTATTTAACACACGAGAGAGAACTTCATATTGGAATCAAGTAAACTCGTCTTTATCTATGAAATAGAAAGAAGAAACTGGATTTGGGTGTTCATCATTTACCCCAGTGTTTACTGGGCTTGGAAAACTGAAGGACTTTTTTTAATCACTGTCTTTAATGTGTAGGATTGTTTGGCCTTCTGCTCAGTGCCATTCAGGTTTTTACTCTTACTATAAACCTCTTTGGGGATTAGTATTAGTATTTAGCATTTAGTATCGCACCAGAAATCACCCAATCACTACGACCAACAAGTGTTACAAAAGAGTTGTTTGACTTTTATTTTGTAATAACTAAACCATTGTATGTCAGCGAGCCAGGACTGTATCCACTGTTGACGTGAAGATAAGCCATGTTGAAGAAAAGGAAGGGATGTTTGTGTTTGTGAATAATATACAGACAGCTCCAGACTACAGACGTGAGACAAAACATCTTGAAATACTTGCTGAATGGTTTGTTTATGACTAAACTAGCACGGTCTTCCCCTCAGCAAAATTAAACGCTGAATTTAAAAAAATAAAAAATAAATAAAAAGAAAAGACAGGAGCCACAGCGCAGCGGGGCGCCACATTACCCTCAGACAAGTTAGCGCTCTCCCAGAGGAATTAATGTCATCTAATTGTTTCTCTGCAAAACAAGGCTGAAAATAACTGCGTGGTTTATCAGCGCAGACACAACAGGCGATTGATCCAGGCTCGCCTCGGTGCCAGGCTCGCCTTCAGCTCCAGTCTGTCATCGAATGTGTCACTGGAGAATATATTTCACTGCCGCTGCTCCTTCTGTCTCTCCCCCTGCTTCCCTTTCATCTGACTGCAGAGAGGAGCAGGGAGGGGGTGGGGGGGTGGGGGGGGGTAATGAAGGAGGAGGAGCGTGGGCTCCCCCCCCCCACTTCTCAGGAGCGGGAATAAACAAGAGGAGGATCATGGGAAGAAGGAGTCTCACTCTTCCATCAATCACCAACCAGTGTAATGACAAGCTGCTGGAGACTGGAGGCAGATGAGAGACTGTAACCGACTCCCGGAGGATGACTCCCCGCGGTTTCCATGACGACCGCGACCTCTCCTCAGGCCGAAGTCTGAGGTTCACAGGTCTGTTTCCATTTTGACTCCGGTTTCCTTACATTTACATTTCCTGTTTTGTACGTCGTCAAGAACGTCAGCACCAACACTTCATATCGTAAAGTGTCACTACCCATAATACTGTATATAAGGTTTATTAATGTATTCATACCTTTGTTGTTCTATCCAGTTTAATATAATACAGGTGGGTACAGGTAGGTACTCTCATCTTACCTCTGATTGCTCCTGTAACCAAAGAAAAAGAAGGAATGGCCACTACAGGAGCCACAGCCTTTAACTTTTCTCTATTCTTTCAGTAGAAATGTTAAATTAAAAGCACTGTGGTCTTTAACCTTGTGGTCTTGTTGATAGATCGCAGCGTTCACGACGTGATCTAGTGCTGCCCTCTTGTCTGGGTCTCCGGTCTTTCGTTAATGCCGGCGAGGCCACGGAGAAAAAAAAAAACAAAACAAAAAACCTTCCTCTTCCAATTAAGCGCAGCAGCTCCGGACCGACTGACACGCCGTGACCGCTCTCTTTCAACATAATTACAGACCGATCCGTCAGATGGGACGCTGGTGCAGACAGAGGCCGCGGCGCCCGTCAGTGCAATCAGAGGCTGTCACAGGAGGTGGAGGAGAGAAATCCGACCGTATTATTTGTGTGTGTGTTTTTTTTGTGTCTGTGCCGAGGACTGGGACTTTTAAACTGAAAGCCATGTCTCTTCCTGTTTGGCTCTCTGAGGTGTTTCCTTTAGATTTGCCTGGTGTTATATGATAATAATTAAAGTAGAAGCGAGAGTCTGTGTCTCTCTAGGACTCTGATGTGTCAGCGGGTTCAGGAAGAGTGCAAAAATCACCTCCGTGCCGCTTGTAATCAGCTCTGTTCGACCCGTGTCAACAACCTGGCATCAAACCCACGGGGGAGCGAAATGGCCGACTCACATATGCAGCAGCGGTGCAGCAGAACACGCCGTGACGACGTGCTGTCAACCGGTGCCTGTAATCCTGTGTGACAGGACACGGAGCAGGCAGGGGGCCAGGCGGCGGCGGCGGCGGCAGCAGCAGCAGCAGCAGCAGCAGCAGTGATGCTACGCTCAGTGCAAGACTGCAGAGCATCTCTAATCGCATGTGCTCACAGCAGCAGCCAGCTCCGACTGAAACCACAAACCCCGCTCTGCATCCTGACTCTTTACATAACCCCCGACTGGCAGAGGCGGACTGGGTCGGCTTTTGGAAGGGAAACAAGTGTATTGATTCCCTCCGAGCTGGGATGAAAGCTGCTCCGATGCAGCTGTTGAATGATAATCTCTGGAGGGAAGGATGGCGACGGACGGAACGAGGCTTCTTTCGGGGAGAGAGAGAGACGGTTTAACTTCACACAGCTGATCACACGGGGCTGGACGTCACATAGAGACACACACACACACACGCACACACACGGAGTCTCTCTCACCGCTGTGATGCGTGCAGCACTGTGGACGCCCTGCGATCACCCTGACTCACATCACACATCAGTCAGTAACGCCTGCGTCTCCAGGCTCAAACACTGAAGAGGAAGGTTATTACCTCATAACATTACAGACCAATGAGTCGAAATCACTGACATTTTGGATAATGTCCAGGAATGCATGAATCAAAAGGGAAAAGTTTTACTATAGAATAAGAGGAAGGATAATGAATGTGATCAGATATTCCATGACATTTGTTTTCAATAATCAGTTGATATGATCGGTTTGATAAAAGACGGCGGCAAATAAAAGACAAGTGTCAGTGTCTGTGGGCATAATAAGTCTGCAATAACACATTGTGTAATTCAGTTACGTTGTTCTTCTCATCAGCTGTAATCAAACAGAACAATTGTTTAAGAGTCAGATTAGTGAAATCCCGTTAAACGATGATTTACTGCTCCGGCTCCGTCCTCCTCAGCCTTGTGCGGGGCCAGTTAGGGCCGACGTCGTCACTGACTGTTCCCTCTCTCTCTTTGAACTGAGGACTCTTTCATCTCTTCAACCCCCCCCCCCCCCCCACGCAGCCCCTCTCTGCTGATTAATTATTCCTCCTTCGCAGAAAAAGCCGGCACCTGCTTGCCGCTGGGGCT